CGTGCTGAGCGGGGATCAGTCTACTTCATTCTTCCGATGCTACATAGGAGTTCCTTTATGATTCAGTTTCCTGTTTTAGATTACTGTCATTTGTTTAGTTTGGATTTTTTAGGGGTCCACACAGTATAGATTCCCGAGTTGTATTTTGGAGGATCAGTTGTATCAGAAGAGTTTATTAACTAATGGAAATATTTTATGAGGTTTATTATTAGATTATCATTTTAGTTTCTTGTCAGCATTTTATTTATTCTTCTTTATTCTTTTGTAATCTGTGTTCGTTTATTATCAATTTGTTTTGATATCCTCGAGTATTCGGGCGTGGCCCTGGCCAACCCGCATTCGAAAATCCGGGGGTATCACAATCACCTCTACTGCCACCACGACTTTTAAAGCCGCCGCCACCTATGGGGCCTCCGAGGCTTCTTCCTCCTCCGAAGCCGGTCACTTCCTCCTATTCCTCTATCACCTTGGGCGCCTCTAAACCTTCTACCACCACCACCTATAAATCAATCAAATATATATATATATATATATATATATATATATATATGGGGAAAAAGAAAAGAATAAATTATCTAAAATGGTAATTTTACATTGCCTAATTTTTTAAATATTATATCATTTATATTAGAGATGGTATTATTGTATTTTTATGCGAATATGTGGGTAATTACACAAAATTGATAGTTTAGAGGGGTTTTATACCACATAAGGACTATTTTGTACTATATCGATAGTAGAGAGGAGTTTTTTGCACTTAACCTGGGCATAATAGGATTTTTGAATTTATTTTATGTCAATTTTGACAAAAAAAAGTGGTCAGATGGACTTATTTGCACCTTTATTTTTTTTATTATTTTATGGACTGAAATGCACATTTTCAAAAAGTAAAGACTATTTCTGCACAAACCCTTACTTTAAGAGCCGAAGATGTTATATGGCTTGTTTATTTAATGAAAATACACCATTCAAATTAATTGAGAAACCTATTTTATTGAATGGTATATTCTAAATTTCTAATTGAGTGAACATACCAAATCATTGGTATTCCCGATATCTTTTCGTGGAAAAGGGACATGGAGAGAATCATGTTAAAGATAAATATTTGGCGAGAGAGGGAGTATGGACTCCACCGTTAATTAATCTCTTTCTTTAATCTTTTGTATTAATAATACAAAGTCTAATAGTCCAACTCCTAGTAATTTTCCTAACTAATCCTCCTTCCAATCCCACAAAAAGTATCTACATTTTCATTTTTAGTTGTCCCAATACAAAATTCAATGTACTTTTGTTTTAAATTTTTTTAATTTACACTCATTGCCTTGAAGTTACAAAAACAATTAAAGTTTTTGAACCCACCATATATAAAAGAGTACATTTGAAAATTTATTCCTTACTACTGTACTAAAATAAAAAATATATAAAAATTACACCCTTAAAAAATTAGATTTTAAAAAAGAAACACTTTTTGTAAGACAAAGGAAGTATCTTTTTTTGTTTAGATCATTGAAGAGAGAAAAGAAATAAATTATAGAAACCATACCAAGTTTGAAAAAAATGGTAAAAGAGAAAAATATGATTATTTTATGTTGTAACGGCAAAGCAAAAATTTCATTTGTTTAGATAAATAGGGACTAAATGGAAAAATCATTCACTTTTCTATTATTTTTCCGTCAATTTTCCAAAAGATGGATTTACTCTATTTTAAAGGTTAAACTATTCTTCATTTTCCTTTCAATTTCTACCTCGATCAATTTTGAAACAAATTCGATTTAAATAATTAACCCTTTTCCGTCATTTTCTTTTTAATCGGAACTCGTATGTCAGTTAACCATTGTTCAAGCATGTGTGGACTTTGCAAGAGTATCTCTATCCTTTTAACAACCACCCCCTTTGCACTAAATTATACATATGTAATATTAATGGTCATTAAAGAGAATTGTTGAAGTGGATAGATATCAATAGTTTTCTTTTAGTGGGTAATAAGAACGGATTAGCTCATCGTCTAGCATAGTATGTCATGCAGGGTAGAAATTGTTATATATATATATATATATATATATATATATATATATATTATTAAAGAGCTGGTTATTACTTATTACTGATTTTAATTCTTCTTAATCAGTGAAAGTTTTTTTGTCGTGAAAAAAAACACTTTTTTTAATGACCATTATATATAAAGAAATATTTTTTGTTCGGTATATATAAATTATGAAATATTGATATATATCACTTCAATGATTTTCTTCAATGACCGTTATATAATTATATAAAGAAAATAATTGATATATTATCACTTCAATAATTTTATGTAGTGACCATTAAATAATTATATAAATAAAATTATTGATATATACAATTATATCTTCAATAATTTTCTTTAATGACCATTATATAATTATATAAAGAAAATTATTGACATAGTGACAATTATACTCTCATATATAACGGTCATTAATTGGTGTGGGCTAGTAACTACAAAAGCATTATAATTATATACATATATATTTGTCAATATTCTTGGAGATGTTCTAATGATGATTTACACAAGCTTCATCCAGCGGCTTACAAATTTCATATATGTAAATTAAAAGCAAGCATACAATATTTTATTTTTATTTTTATTTTTATTTTTTTATTTGTGTGTGTGTGTGTGTGATGCTTGCCGAAAGTTAACAGCCGTCTAGATTTTGGGTCGCTACCATAGGATGTCTCATCACCTGTGGCAGTTAGGTTTTCTAATAAAATGTTATCTTCAAAAACCCGTTGTTTATAGTGAATATATATATATATATATATATATATATATATATATATATTTGCTATTAAATTGCATATTATGCAATATATAATATATATATGGTCCGTTAAAATATTAGCTCAACCGACAAAAATAGAAAGAAAGAAGAAAATCTTGATAACACTTTTGTATTAGGACTTTTCGTTTATATTTTTGTCTGCCACATGTATATGATCATAGAAAATCCAAAGCTTTGAATCATATTTTGTTTTTTTTTTTGCTATTAAGTTGCATATTATGCAATATATAATATAGCCTTATATATTATATATAGCCTTAAGCATACTATAGCAGCCATTTCCCGAGCCCACTACGCTGTACCTTGGTCAAACCTGGTATGGAACTCCATGGCCATCCCTAAACACAAAATGATTCTGTGGATCAATCCAAACTCTCCACATTGGACTCCAAATGTATGTCTTATCTTGATTCTGCTAATGTATGCCACCTATGCTCAACCTTACCCGATTCACACTCTCACCTTTTCTTTGATTGTGAATTTGTCTCCCCCTTATGGAAGTTCATTCAACACAAATGTTGTTTTTACACAAGAAGTGAAAGTTGGCCTCAATTTGTCTTCTGGGCTGCTCACCACTGGAATCACTCTTCCCCCAGAATAGATATTTGCCGTTTAGCCCTTGCCTCCATGGTGTATCACATTTGGCAGGAAAGGAACAATAGGATATTTAGATCCTCCCCTTCTTCTCAACCATTTGTGCTACAACTTGTATGTAATTCAGTTGCTGAAGTTCTAAGATCTCGCCATAAGGATTCCTACTCTCAATTTGCTTTGGAATGGTCTTATTCTCCAATCGCAGCTCGTCCTCCACCACTCCCTCCTGATCAGTGAACAGAGGTGAAGTATCAAGAGGGCTGGAAGCAGCTTAGTTACCGGAATTGTTAGGACATCCATTTCTAACGGTTAACGCCGTTAGCAACGGCTATCCTCCACATTGTTGCTGAGGATTCTCTTCCTTGTTGTTGTTGTTCCCCTCTTTTGAGTTTGGCTACTATGTACCTTCTTTAATTTGGTTGGCCTTTCCCTGTTTGGGTTGGCCTTTTGTGTTCCTTTTTCCTCTTGGCCTCTCTTGGGCCCTTTGTATCTCTTTATTATTATATATATATATGGTCCGTTAAAATATTAGCTCAACCGACAGAAATAGAAAGAAAGAAGAAAATCTTGAAAACACTTTTGTATTAGGACTTTTCGTTTATATTATTGTCTGCCACATGTATATGATCATAGAAAATTCAAAGCTTTAAATGAAAGTGTCATTTCTTTATCATAATGATAATAATGTTTAAAGTTGTGGAAACCAATGAAGAGAAAGGTCAAAATAAAAAGAAGTAAATTTCCTTAGTTACTTTTCTTATTTATATGTTGAGTTTATATTATTTACTTGGTTTGCAGTATTATATTTAAGCTCGAATCTAGTGATAACAATCTTTGTTCAACTTTGAAGATTAATGAAAGTCGTACCTCTAAAATTTATTATTATTATTATTACTATTATTATTTTCTTCTTAATAATGGTAAATGAAATTTGTTTTAAATCATGGTGATCATACTTGTTTTTTACCCAAATGAATAGGGTCCATCACTTTAATTAATTATTCTCTTTTCCAATTTTATTTTATTATTATACGATATGATTCCTATAAAATTATTTTTAGTATATTATTTCAATCTATATTAGTTTTCGCTTCGTTATTGTCTATGTAAATTACTCTTTTTTTTTCATTTTAACCGAGCACTTTAACAATCTACATTCTATGTGGTATATATCACCTAAGACTATATATGCAAACGATATTAATTTGGTTCTCATTAACCCAAATTAAACAAAAACAAAAACAAAAAACAAATTATTTTCATTAATTATTTAGTTGCAACAACTTTTAATTTTGGATGGTCCTGTGATCAAAGTCCTGATCATAGATTAATTTTTTTAAATGTAATGAAGTACAAATTATTATTGTGATAATTGCCGCCATTTGCAAACAAAATAATGACCATCATATAATGTTCGACTCACACATCAAAAACTTAAGGTCACAGCTGTCATGGCCTATTCAAGGGTAAGGAGTGCACCCCCACTCACAATCACCACAAACTTTGAACCTATCTTTTATACCCCTCTTGGTAGAGACATCGAAACAACCACTTGCATGCATGAAAACAATTCTTATTATATATTCTCAGTCCTATAATTTCTTAATTATCATACTCTCTCTCTCTAAATATCTCCCTCTCTATACAGTTGAGCATGAGCTTGTATGAAAGACTAAGCACCTCTCATGGAGGACGAAGAAACAAACTCATGTTGTCGGGATGCTTAGCCTTCCTATTCATTATGCTTTTTAGTACCAAAATGTCCAGTGCTAAACGTTATATATATCCACCAACGTCCCATATTTCTAGACCAGCCACTATTAATGCATGCAATGACACACTCTACCAAGAAGCTTGTGTTTCAGCCCTAGTATCATCAACAACAAGCGTGCTCCAAAAAACTCCGATGGAACTATTCGATCTCTCCGTCCAATTCAGCAAGGGTCGAGCTCAATCTGCTAGAGCCCTTGCAGTTCGAGCCCTTGCTCACAGTCTTAGCAGCCAGATGAACCCAAAGGGTCGTGCCCATTTGGTCATTGGCATGAATGACTGCATCGAGTTGCTCGATCATAGTCTGGACCGGCTCAGTAATGTGCTCAACCGGGATAAAACCGGCTTCCAAGTTGATGATGTTCAGACATGGCTTAGTGCTGCTCTTACCAATCAAGCAACATGTATGGAAAGCCTTCAAGATTACAAGTTTGAGGTAGACAAGGGCATGGTGGTTGGTGCGGCACAAAATTTGAGTCACTTCATAAGCATCTCACTAGCACTTTACATGTCTGCCAATACAAAAGGGGTTAAAAAAAATTCTAACCTAGGTGGTGGTGGTGGCCGGAGATTACTGTCTGACCGGTTTCCAGATTGGTTGTCCATGCCAGAGAGGAAGCTTCTAGAAGCTTCCACGGAGGAGATTGGAGTGAAGGTTGTGGTGGCTAAGGATGGAAGTGGAACGCATATGTCCATCAGTGAAGCACTGGCATCATTGGCGGGCGATGGCAGGAGTGTAATTTACGTGAAAGCCGGGACTTATAGTGAAAACCTCCAGATTCCCGCCTCAAAGAAAAACGTTATGTTAGTGGGCGATGGGAAGGGCAAAACAGTCATTGTGGGTAGTAGAAATTCCAAAGACGGATGGACAACATATAAATCTGCCACTGTTTGTAAGAAATTTTTATTTTATTTTTGTTATTTATTGCATAAAAAAAATATTCTTTTTTATTTTTATTCATTATTTTCAATTTTTTCTTATTTTTAAAATTCTTTTTGGATAATAGTCACATAGAACATCTTTGTCAATCTATTGGCCTAAGACGTTAATGTTTCAAAAGTCTCAGTAAAAGACATTTTAAAGTTCCAACATCAATTGACTTGTTGACTTGAAAACAAAAAATATAATATTTGTATTTCTCTTTAACTGTGTAAGAAGAGTCAAATGAGGTTAAATTAATCATTATTACCTCGTCCTTTTAAGTCACACTTCTAAGAATTTGACAAAAGAAATTTTTATATATCATATATATTAAAATTTTGTATTTAACTAGATATTTTATATTAGTGGCAAATAATGAACATTGCCCATATTTTTTTTTTTATCAATGTGTACTTATATTCAAAATCTTATATATATATTCATTATTTGCCACTAATATAAAATATCTAGCTAAACACAAAATTTTAATATATATAATATATATAAATTTCTTTGGTCAAATTGTTAGAAGTGTGACTTAAAAGGACGAGGCAATAATGATTAATTATATATATATATATATATATATATATATATATATATATATATGTTAAAATTAAGGTTTATTAGATACCACTAAACTGCCTCATGATATTTTTATATAAGATAAAGTGTGACTCAAACATGACAAGCATTAGAAAAAGTTTGCTCTTGATAGAGTCTGGCTGAATATATTTTAATTTTTTGTCATTTAATTAACTAGTTAAAATCAAATTCTATCAATTCATACACACTAACTAGCATTTCAGTAGGATTTGAACTTTGAATTAACTTCTAACGAAGAAGAAGGAAGATAATGACTATATTGAGTTGTATAGAATTGGATTGTTGAAATTGAAATTGGTGTATTAAAGAAAAATTTAGTTTAAAGTTATGAAAAATTGAATTAAATTTTTATTTTTATTTTTTTAATTTCACCAATTTCAATTCTAAAACTCCAATTCTAGACCGAATATAGCATAAGTTCAACACAATATGAAAAAAAGGCAAAGAAAGTGAAGCTTTTTTTTTTCTTTCATATGCTTCTCCATTTTTTTTCCTTTTTCTTTTATTCTCTCTCTCTTTTTTTTATTTTTTTATTTTTTTTATTTTGTTTATCTGGCAACTAAGGAAAATGCATCAATCTCTTCCTGGAAAGGAACCACAAGTCCTATTACACCGAAAACTTCTACTTTAAACTTTTATTTTGAATTGTAAATATGCATCATCATATCTGACCATTCATTCACTATATATATATATATATATATATTTCAGCTGCTATTGGCGATGGATTCATGGCTCGAGACATCACAATCATGAACAGCGCAGGTCCGGCAAAGCACCAAGCCGTGGCTCTCCTTGTGGGATCGGATAAGTCGGTGATCTACCGGTGCTCCATCATCGGCTACCAAGACACCCTCTTCACCCACTCCCAACGCCAATTCTACGCCGAAACCGATATCTATGGAACAGTGGACTTCATCTTCGGAAACTCAGCTGTGGTCTTCCAAAACTGCAACATTTACCCTAGAAAACCCATGTCTGGACAGAAAAACTTCATCACCGCCCAAGGCCGAGCTGACCCTAATGAGAACACCGGCATATCTATAATCAACTGCAAAATAACAGCAACATCTGACCTAGCCCCGGCCAAGTCTCAGGTCAAAACGTTTCTCGGACGGCCGTGGCAAGCGTATTCGAGGACAGTGATCATGGAGTCATTTTTGGATGACTCAATACATCCACAAGGGTGGGCTCCTTGGTCCGGTAACTTTGCCCTAAAATCCTTGTTTTATGGGGAGTATATGAATTCGGGGCCGGGGTCATCCACTTCTGGTAGGGTTCAGTGGCCTGGCTACCATGCATCTCTCGCTACTACTGAGGCGGAAAAGTTCACGGTGGGCGGGTTCATCTCCGGGAATCAGTGGTTGCCGGCTACCGGGGTACCTTTCGATGCTGGACTGCATGCTTAACATAGTAGGGTACCTATCTCTCCAATAAATTAAATAAATGGGACAGCTGCCAACATAGCCTTATGTTATCATATGTTTATCCTTAATTTTTTTTTTTTAAGAACTTGCATATATGTCTGTGTGTGTATTTAATTCCCACTTGTATTTGAAATTTGGTGGCCGACTTGAAAATGGCACAAATGAATTGTAAATGTAATAATCATTAATATATGCAATCTATGTATATATGTGCGTGTGCCTTTGGACGTGTGTATGTGTTGTCAGTTAATAGTACCTGCATTCATACTTGGTATTTTCCGATTCTGGTTTCACAACTTGGTATAGGAAGTACATGGCCCTCTCCCTCTCTCTAGGTATATATATATATATATATATCAGTTACTAATGGACGTACTCTTATTGCCGTTGATGCCAGTAATGCATGGTTGATGCATTGTAATTAATGTACATTACTAATTAAGAATGGTTTTATGATCATCTCTTTTTTTAAGTGCCACTAGTCTTTATTCATATCTTAATTTGTCCACCGGAATCAAGACTTCGCGCCTTAATTAAGGCACATATGTATTGCATGGTTCACGGCACAAATATTAAGTCTCTATACGGGTAAATAGGTGTGTGAGTATGTTTATTATCAAAGTTTTAAAAGAAATTGATCAAGCAGTTCTTAGTGGGCGCATACTCTATTCTATGATCAGAAAGCTCTCCATTTCAATCCAGTCATGATTCATTTGTGATATAAATCGATCAGATAGATTTCTGATCATAAAACCTTAATCCATCCATGATTGGAATGCAGTTCTTACGGGATTAAACACAAAAGACCACGTATATGAAAGTACACATACATAGCAATCACGTTCTGTGAATCGATTATGTGTAGAAAAAATAGTGGAGAACCAAGCCATGCAAAGAAGAATAAACAGGGCTGAAAGCATACACATAATTAGAAAATTTTAAAAATAATACTATAAAGGAAAAAAAAAAAAAAAACTCCTTCCTAATTAAAGTAAATATATTATATAAAATTACAAAAATAAAGTAACATAATAGAAATCAAGAGAGATGAGTTTGTCTTAATATTGCAGCATTTCATTTGCTAAGAAATCATCATCATCCATGGCTTCCATGAACGGAATCACACGTGAATTCTCTGTTTTCATTCTTTTCAATTAAAATCATTTCTCCTATAAGAAATCATTTCTAATAATTTCATCATATATTGTTAATTTTGGTCATCCTCCATGCCCGCTACATTTCCCATGAAAATTAATTTTTCTTCTTATTTGGTTACTCTATAATTCTTCTTTTATCACTAATAAGGGTCACTCTTAATTTTTAGAGTTTTTTTTTTTTTAATGGTAAATTAAACACATGCGGTTGCCCATGCTCGCGCTCGAATCTCTCCCATTCTCTCTGAGGATGAGAAGGTTACCTCACATATCAATTGGTAAGGAAGAAACTATAAAAGTAATGACAAAAATAACATTTTTTTTTTCAGCATTGAAAAATACACTGTTGAATTTAAATTAAAGAACAAATTGTTTAACTATGGAAAACAAGCATGCACTTATATGTCTTATATATCCGTGGTCCTAATTGACAAAATTCACGTAGATTACATATACCATACCCATAAGATCGACATGATCTTAAAATCTAGCATGTTCTATATATAGAATATTCAGATGTATATATATTGAAGTCATTTTCACAAACTCGAACGAAGTGTCTGTCTATCCATGTGACAGTACTAAGAGCGTGTTTGGACAAAATCACATGGCATGCACGCGGACGGAAGACCAAGTTTTTTTTGCACGTCAATTCCAGCATTGTGGTGAAATGATATATCTGTGTGTGTGTCTGTGTGCGCTCAAGACTCTCTCTCTCACCAAGCATGCAAAACATATGAAAGTATATATTACGTACTCTCCTGTAATCGATCTCTCTTTAGGAACTAGGTGTATAATATACTGTGTAATATAAGTAATGTACGTCAAAATATAAAATTAGTGATTTTTATTTTTATTCTTCAGACGCACGCACATATGAAAACACCTAGTGAAAATTATAAATCGGTGTTGCATGTATACAATTGCAACCCTCTCAGTGGGTTTAATTTAACAATATACTATAATATTAGAGATGTTCCCATGTATCTAGAAGGTTAATTTAATTAGTGGGCCCTTAATTATCTCAATCAGAGAAATGGTGGACCCACCCCATGTGCAGCCTTGCCATTTTCATTCTTGTCCAAAGCAAACATTCCTTTGCAGAGTCACAAAGTATACATGGAGAGGGAATAGTTTCCTTGTTTTCCGCTCCTTTTCTTTCTGAATGATTTTTATTTCTTTTTTCCTTTTCCCTTACCAAGCCAGACATTAATCATCAAAAGGCAATTGTTCTGCTAGCCAAACGGACAACACATGGGTTTCCCATGCTTTTCAGGTCAGATTAGTTTATATATACATATATATATAGAGAGAGAGAGAGAGAAAACATGCAACAAAGAAGTTGGATCAGCCATAGATTAATTTCCAATTCAAAGAAGAAGTTGAAAAAATGAAACTAACATGATCAAAGTATATATCAACCTTATTGTCAATATGGTCATATACCGAAAAAAAAAAGAAAAAAAGAAAAAACCTTTTTGTCAATATAGACTCTTGATCTATATATTATTAACAGAATAATTTTTTTTTTTTCTTATTGTTGTGAGTTGACATATTCGACACGGCAGCAGAATTGATTATATATATTTGAACATTAATGATGAAAATCCATGAATGAATACAATAATATCTGCAGAGATAGGAAATTTTTTAATTGTTTGTCGGCCGTTATCACCCCTCAAACCACAGGTATCAAAAGCCACCGTCATTAATTCACCTCAACTATATATATATATATATATATATATATATATATATATATATATATAATTATATATCACCTTCTTACCATCAACCCTAATTGAACCGGACTAATATTTCTTCATATGCAGCATTTGTCAATTTAACATTCAGACCATTTGCCCCAAATTTCTAAAAATCTAACACAAACACACAGATCAAATATGTACAACCGTGGGATAGATCGATTATTCTATGTACATGAAAGTCTCTACTATGTACAACCAGTTTGTATAAATATATATTTATATATGTATATAATGCATGTAAAGACCAAACCATACATATATATTTATAAACTATTAATTTCATGGTATAAAAATTAACTTACCGTTCGATCTCTTCTTCTATATATATTATGATCAACACGTACCTCGCTCGCATGTGTCTCATGTTTCTTTTTAAGTATTCAAAACGTAGAGTAGCATGATCATACTCAATTGATGGATCAATTAAGCTGGAGGAGAGTATAGATGATCAGCAATACTTTTCATGACCTTAACTTGGGTGGCAAGACATTTTATGTAATGTGCTGTTTCCTCCAACAAGTCTCCGAACTCCATAGCTTCACCGCCGGGCACTAGCCGTCGAAGCTTCTCAGCTTGGTTGAGCTGATCTCCGGAGGGCTTATTAATCTTTGTAACCCTCTTCTTCTCTCCACCAAAGCATGATCTCCTTCTCACCACCGCACCGGCTCGCTGTCTCACTCGAAGCTTGAAAAGGAGTGCCCGGCTCCAAGCTCTCCGCGTCCCAACAGCGCGAGCCATGGATGAATAGGCAGCCATCTTTATCTTCTGACTGCGCACATACGTGTTCTTGGAAGATTTCAAGATGGGTTTTTGTTTTTTAATTCGCAGGAGGGATCGGAGAAATACTCTAGCAACCCTAGTTTTGAAAGAGCTAGTTTTTGAAGAAAGTCCCTTGGGATGATACATGGTGTGTGTGTGTGTGTGTGTGTGTGTGTGTGTGTATATATAACAAGGTTGATAGCTGTTGAGAAATGGTGAATTTAGGGTTTTGTGTATTGATGTGGAGATGCTAGCTGAAGATTCTCTCCTGCTTCTACTAGTATAACTAACTCTGACAAGAATTGACTGGGATTGGAGTTTACAGATTTCTTCTCTGACACAAAGGGGCCTCTTGCTTGCAAGGACAAAAGGCAAATTTTAGTTCTCTGACACAAGTAAAAGAAACAAACAAGCGAGAGAGAGAGAAAGTGAGACAGAGAGAGAGAATTAAGTGAGACAGAGAGAGAGAATTAAGTTCTTTGTAATGGAGAATGGGATGTTGAGGAAGATGGAAAATAAGGAAGGAAATAAAGGAAAATAAAGGAAGATGGGGTGGAAGGGATTGAATTTGGATGGCTGGAGAGAGAGGAGGCTTGGGAATCAAGGTTTTATCTTATTTTATGTTATTTTTAAATATTAATTAAGATCATAGAATATTGTTATCACAAATAAATAATAATAATAATAATAACAAAAAGGTAATCCTAGCTAGCAACCATACGTGCATCTTTCTTCATCACACAGCGTAGAAAACACGCTATATATATATACATATGTATGTATATATTACAGACATGATGATGATAAAGAAAATTAGAGAATATTAAGACCACTACAAAGCTTGAAAAAGGGATATGTAACATGTTAATTTCTTACAATATTAACCATTTAACATCTTAATTTGAGTAGGGTAAATCTTAGCGTAATCTATTTTGAGTTGGAGGTCACTATTTTTAGAACCTCCGTAATAAGGAGAACCTCGTACACTCTTTAATTTGTTTGGAGAAGAAAAATGAACATAGGTGTATATAAATATATATATGTATGGTAATGTATATACACGTTACATGTGATATATAGTAAAAAGTGGTGTGTTGAATTCATTTCCAAATGACGGTACCTCTTAGTGGGGGAGGGTCGGAGAAGAGTGGTTTTGTGGGCCCACAAGGGGCCAACTACCACATGAAGGCACATGGGTCTAGTGACCAACTTGTCTGATGGAACCTTTTACTTCTCTTCTTTTTGTTTGTCTAATCTTTGATTACTTGCTTATCCAATAATGCTTTGCGTTTGTTTTAGGTTTAGTCATGTTCTATAATCTTTATTACTTCAACGGCGGCTATACCTCACCCAAAAGACAATCTTGGCCTTTCAACTACAATATTTGATGTATGTATAAAGGTCAAAATTAATGAGGCTAAACAAATTGATTTGTTAGGATTTTTGTGACGTATAAAACAAAAATTAAATATGTGGAGTGTTGGCCTTCCTTTTGGAGTTTTCCCAATTCCAGGTGTCTTTAGTAGAGGATTATATATATATATATATATATATATATATATATATATATATATTATTTACTCACACTTTTCACTTTTAAGGGACTTCAACAATTTTAGTATTTATTTCTTTTATCTTTCGTTCGGTAATTAGAAAAATAAAGGAGTAGAAGCATGTTTGATTTGTAAATTTGAAAATAGTTTTTAATAACTGATAAAATAATTTTCAGAGAATAATTTTTTATTATTTTTCTGAAAAGAGATATTGTTATAATTAAATTTTCAGAAAACTGAACCAAGTAAAAAAATTACGATTTTCAAAAAATAAAAAACTATTTTTATAACTACAGACCAAACAAGCCATAAACTTTTTTTGTTTGATAGAGAAAAAATCAAGAGAGAAAAAGAATGTGATAGATTCGTGTCATTTCTTCTTTATAAATTTTCATTCTTTCAAATATGAGAAGAAAGAGGGGAGTGAGACGAGTGATAAGTTCAATGATAGTAAAAATAACTACAAGACAAAAACAATTTAAAATACATTCTTTTTTTCTTTTTTATCCTACCAAACAAAATAGTAATCATGTTATTCTCTTTTTTCAATTCAACGGAATAAAAAGAGACAATAACACAATATTTTCTGTTTGAATATCTCATCCATGATTTTATTTTCATCCGATTTTATTCCTTACTAGTTACTACCAAGAGGCGAGAAACATAAAAAGACAATGATGAGTCAAAATGAGAGAGAATTTGATTAATAAAATTTAATCACCAGGAAACAAATTCCTACAACTATGCAATTAAGAAAGAATATTTCACATGGAAACAACAAATTGACCTGGGTGAACCTATGTAAGTAAACTATAGATGTCACTTTTGAAAAGAACACGAAGGAATAAATTTGCATTACGTTTTCGCTCAAAACAGATAAACAAATAGATCCATCCGTCACGGACTCATAACCAGAATTAAAATAAATAAACACCAAGTGCAAGTGCAAGTGTTAGAGAATATATGACCTTAAACCAAAAACAAATAAGAGAAGTTAAATGCAATTATGAGACAACGACCGAGGTACTTGTCCAAATCCTCTATTGTCAACATTAGTAACAATTCTTTAACCTAGTCATTTTTCGGTTAATTGGAAGACATTATGGGAATAGTTAATTGAGATTTATGGTCCGTTTGATTTTTTTATTCAGAAAATTATTTTCTAAAAATACGTATTTTTTTTTAACTGAATTTTTATAAAACAATTTTCAAAAACTGTTAATAGATTTTTATATACTTTTAGAGAATTAAAAAAAAAATTATTCTAAAAAAAAACCTGAACCAAGTAAGCTCTTAGATTTACAATTTATTTTCTACAATTTTACTCATAATTGACTATTTATTGAAACGTTTTTAGTACTTAATCTTATTTGAGAGAACACAAGAAAATTTATTTTTCCTTTCCCCTCGCAGAACACATTGTTGCTGTTATTTTTTTTTATTATTATTGGTTTAACAATTAAACATCCTTCTTCATCCACCTCAAAAAGAAATGTTTGGAAAACAACGTTTACAATTTCATTTTACCAGCCAAAAATGGTAATAATTTGTGGGTGATAATTATCAAAGGGCACCCAACCCAAATTGTAAAAATATATAAATATATATAAAAGGAAAAAGAAGGAAGGAAAGAAAAATTGGGTCTGCTAATTGACCACTTGGCCAACAGAACAATTCAAACCGTCTCGTCATAAGCAACTAAAGCTTTTAGCCACTGTTATTCTTACCCACCATTGAGACCCCAAAACAGCATACCAATAGTTTAAATTTGGGCTAATCATGTTCGTGTTAACACGAATTGACCCACTAACTAAATATATTGACTCACTAACTAAATGTGTGATGTTTGACCCTATAATTATGATTATGACACAATTAACTAGACATATCAAATAAACATAGTTCGTATAAAAATGTGAAATAAAAAGTCATTCATATCAAAAATGATTTAAACATATCTTTTCGTGTCTTGTCAAGTCTTGACCCATTTATTAAATAAATTAGACTTATCGTATCATGTTACACGTATAATAATTGTGTCGTGTCAATGATCATATAGACGATTAATGATCGTGTTCGTGCCAACCCTAATCGTGTCGACACGAACACGACATACCAACACAAATTACCACCCCCATCCACAATCCCACTCAAACACACAGTTTGCCCACACTCGAGCTCGAAACACTCCCCCTCTTTAAACGGGGAGGTTATACCATTGGGGTATATGCCCACTCTATTCCCACAATAGCATTCCTTATTTCCATATCTATGCAACTATTATTAATCTCCGGTGTTGGTATGAAAAAACTCACAACCAACATTAACAGGAGACAAAAAGTAAAGGGGAAAAAGAAAAGGCAAATAATAAATTGCCCGCATTTCTATGCAATTATTTCAATTTCGGAGCAAACAATAACGACGAGTGATTTCATATGTTACAACATTAAGCCTGATTAACAATGGAGCTTCACTATATATATATATATAAAGGATATAATACACATTAAAAGTAATCAAAAGAGTGAACTGCCTTTAAGGCCCTGCAATTTCTCCACCCTGAGATCCTAAATGGGGCCAATATGGCATTACAATTTTTGTGTGTCCATGACATTTGTAGATCAGTGTCACTGACCCCCTGGTTTAAAAGATGCTAGCAATCTGATGCCTCAAGCTTCCCCTGAAGGGCCCCTAGGTGGGGGTAATTCGGTGCCATAGTTCCAAAGGTGCTTCAACTCACCTCTTACCAAACCTAATATGATGGTAAGACCTGATTCGCAAAGTTAAAGAGGAGGTAAAAAGTTAGAAAGTATAATCTAACAACAATTCCTCTCCATCTGCAAATGCATATAGTAAATGAAAAGTCTACTTAAATTTGTCGTCACACAATTTAATACCTAATGTACATGGAACAATATAGAGGAGAGCAGGTTGACCGTGTCCATCCATAAGATACAAGCCTAGGTAAGTAAAGAAAAGACCTGCAGAAAAGGATAGGGAGGAACCCTCCATTAGTCTTGGTCGTGAGCATATTTTCAAATGCGATGTATGAGGAGACGCTCTCACAATAATATGAACAGAACATTCACCAAGTAATCAAAATCACATAATCACCAAGTAATCAAAATCACATAATCAAAATAAGGAACCAGCAAGCACCTAGACAGACCTAGGGGTTCAGTTTGGTTGTTGATTATTAAGTTGCATTTAAAAAAAAAAAAAAAGAACAATACTAAACAGATTCCCTTTCCCGCAAATAGAAAAGGGTTTGGATTAACTATGTTCATGTTCTGCTTGGTGTCTTATAGTTACATATTCAGTCTCAAGCCTAAAAAGAAAAAATAAGCAGAGAGAGTTTAGATTATGGCTGACAGCGAACGTAAAACCACTGTACAACTCTTTAAGAACTTGAATCCAAAAAAAATTCAAGTAAATACGGGGTGTTCTTTTCAAGCAAAAACCGAAGTGTTGCATTAATACCAAGCCGCAGCAAAAATGGAACAGATGGCAGACTTTCCCCTGATTGATGGGGCACCATCTGTGCATTGCTTTTCTACATTTCTGCCTGGTGTGAAGCGAAGACGGGCGTCTTTATTACCACAGGCAACTCCATCAAATGAATACAGATCATGAACAGGCAGCAGTTTAATATAATATGCCTATAAGAAACTATTAGGTAGGAAATATGGTGAAAGAAATTAAAAATATAAGATATAAACTCAAATACATTGAAAAGATGGCACCAAAACGGAATACGGAAATTACTAGAAAAAAAGGCCATACCCAAGGTGCCGAAAGGGATAAACTAAAGAAAGATCTAAACTTTAGCCTGAAAGCATTAATCATATAAAAAGACAAATAATTGAAAACAGTCCAATGCATAGAATTATTTTGACAGGAAGTGGACTTGTGCCATGATAGAAAAAGACAATTCCAAATCTCAATCAACTATTATTTTGAGGGCAAGCCTTGGCGCACCGGTAAGGTTGCTCCATTGTGACGGTCAAGGGTCCGAAACAAGGAAACAATCTCTCCGCAAGCGGAGGAAAGGCTGAGTAGATTTAACCCTTCCCAGACCCCACAATGGTAGGAGACTCGTGCACTAGGTTTGCACTTTGCTCTTTTATTCAACTTAATATCCTCCTAGGCAAGTATGACATTATAATTTACTATTCCAAAAAAAGGAAAGTGCCATCATATTTTAACTTTTAAGTTAACAAAAGAAAGTCAATGCTATGGAGATTCAAAAGAATTAAAATGACGAAATGCAAGATACCCACCGAATCCATAGCCAATTATGGACCAAATAAAATATCCATTTAGTACACCCTTCTTATTGGCTTTGTCAAATCTGCAACCACCAGACAAAAAAAAGAAAAGAAAAAGGATACAACTGATAAATAAAATTGGAAAGGTAAAACTAAATTGATCGCAAAAGCTTATAAGTAAAAAGGAAATGAGTTCTAAAGCATCATAGTTTTCGCATCTAGCGCAAGATCCTGAAAACACTGAAGGACGACTTCAAGTTAAAAGGTTCTTGTTTAGGAGAGAAATAGAGCTTTAGTATAAAATATCTGTACAAATTCATCCATGCCATGTGAAATGGTACTCTAGTCCTCTATTTCTTCTTTGACACTAACCCTTTAGGAGCATTGAGAAATTGATTTAAGTCGAAAATGTCCCCTTTTTTACGTCACTTTTTTGACAGGTAAGACTCAACACCCCCCACCCACACACACACAATTGTCCCAATGGAACTTGGACCCTCAACCTCCCGTATGGGAGGAAGAAGAGACACTACTTGGGTTAGATCCACAGTAATTAGATTTAAAATAACACCAGCAATTTTGGTCTTGAATAGTTAACGAAGTATATTTCCAAACAGAAGAATTTGATACCAAAGTATGTCAACAGCAAGAAACATACTTCAGTTTGAAAAAGCATGGGTAATCTCTGGAAATTAAAAGGAAAAATAGTGATGCAAGAGCAACAAGAAGAGGAAAGTAAGCCCCAGTTGTGTCATTATACACTGTGTACATGTGCTCACGCACATTGAGTGGTGCGGCTCTACTCTTCCTAAGAAGAGAGATTAGAGTGACATGTAAAAGGTCATATTAAAAGCAAATTGTATTTAAGATATACAGCTGCCAAAATTTTCAGTCAAAGAAGCTAAGAACTACACGATAGTCAAATTACCGCTTAACACACTAATACATTAAGACACTATGAAAGGTAATTTGACTATTTAACGTGTCAAGACCAACATAAAGAAAGAACTTTAAATATCACCTCCCATAAACAAGGACAATTGACGATCACAAGACATGTAGATCTTATAGTGAAGATAGACTGCCATTTTATATATGCAAAAAAGCTAAGAACTAAATGATAGGAAGATGTACCATGCCTTTTTTTTTTTTTCACTTTTGCACGAAAATTTGGAACTTGTGCATTTTTTTCTTTAAGTAAATTAGATCTAAACTTTGTCAAAGAATTATGCCAACTAGGACTTGTCTTTCTCTTATTAACAATTATTAGAAGATTAAACCATTAGAGACATTACCTAAAAAAGAATGAAACGAGCAAACCAGGAAAGAGAATGTCCCCAAAGCCAATCATATCATAACCACCCCAAGGATCAAAAAGTCGAGGAATTCTCAAAAGCATTGGAATAGATTCTCCACCACTGTTGTCACCTCGAGCAACCTATTAAATATATAAGAAGAAAACTCATGTTCGTCGTTCACTTAATTATAAAAAAAATCCGAGCCCAATTAAGTTAATAATTCAAATTCATGAGTATTAATCAAATTAACAAGAAGAATTAAAAGCATAGCAGCATCCATAACTGAGAATTAAATATAAATATATATATATATATATATATATATATTGATAGCTTTCCTTTTAGTGTTTATGATTCTCCCTTATGGCTAAAATTTAACCACGTCTCAAGAAAGGAGGTTTTACAGGGAAACCTGTAAGTAAAGAAAAAAAAGGTGGACCTGAAGGCATATCTCACAAAGTGAAACCATTTGAAAAATTACATAGGGAAATAATTAGCATCTTAAGTATGGTAATCTGACTTTATCTAACTGCACATCCACCAGAAACTAAGATGTGATCAGAAACGAATGAGATCTTCCTGTGGAGGCGGCCACCTTAAAATGTATTTATGAAAAGAATGACGGGATATTAACAACCTTAAGTTTTCTATGGCATACTGCGAGAGATCAACTTCCAAGTTCCAAGGGCACCTTGCTTCTAAAAAACAGCGACTAAGAAACAAGAGTGTGACAAAAATAAATGTTTAACCATGGCCACTCCGAGCACATAAAGAAAGACCTTGAGCAGTAATGTTCATTTTTACTATTGCATAAGAGTATAATTTAATAATGCAATACTGAACAAGCAAAAATCATGTGAATTTGATCCAGTATTTTACTAATTCAAGACCGCCAAGGTTATCCATGTACCATCAATATTCAACTTAAACCAGTCCAACTATTGTGTGAGGCAGGACAAAGTACTCAGAGGAGCTCTGTCGTATTTTGAGAAGAAAGCACACCCTTTCTTAGGTTTAAACAATGTAGATAGCCACTCACCCGTCCATAAATTTTCTGATGCATGCCAAATTCTTTGCCAATCATTGAGAATATGTTATAGGAAGATTGTACAACAAACTATAAAAAGAAGGGTGTCCCCACCCTTTGGGTGGGACTACTCCCCCTCTGGACACTTAGGCTGGGCCCTTGAGGTTAAAGGTATTATTTTCGATGGAAGGAAATATATTTATCACAAATAAGTGACACCCTCTACCAGTAAAAATCTTTATTCGCAGAGAAGAAAGTCAGCATTCCAATCCTTATTAAATAGCTGCTTTGATTTTTATATACTTGAGCCATAAGAAAGGAGCCTCTTTTTCTATACCTTTGTAGTTTATCTAAGTTGCAGTGCCGCAGTATGTCGCAACAATGCAGCTTTCTCATCTCATGGATGGGTTTGTACTAGCATACTACAGCGATTGCCGGTCCAACACAAACCGAGCTCAAGCTGAAAAAAGACTTTCACAGAGTATGCTTCACTAGTATGCCGGGAGGGTGGACTGGTACAGACTACAGACCTAACCTCGGTATTATTTGCAAAAATTGATGGTACTCATTACTTAAACCGCTTTTCATAGGTTTCTCAGATTTCGTACTCTGTGCCATAAAAACTGCAGCAATTAAGCTCAATGAAGAGAGCAAAATTTTTAATGAGATTAAGCCAAGCTTGAAGAAGCACCTTTGCTCACCATCCCAAGCTCCAACAGCCGGGAGTTTGGAATAGTTTAGATCATTTGTCCTCATTCTTCAAAAATAAAAAATGACCAAAAAACAAAAGAGGAACACTGGAAAAATAGAATTCTGAAAACAATTCTTACAAATAAGAACTTCAGACTCCTAGAATGACAGTTAAACCCAACCAAAGATAGAAAATGACAAATAACATGACCAAGTACTAGTATCCCAGATGCCAAACAGTCTTAAATGACAATAATACTGTCACACTAAATGAAAATGATGCATCTTTCAGTCCCTCTACTTGTTTCTCTTGCAACAGAAAGCCTAAATACAGTTGATGAGATGATTTGCCATCAGGGAGACAGTCTGGAGATTCTGAAAATTTTCAATTAGTCATAAATAATAGTGTGGCATCTTTCATTGTTTTTTCATGTTTCAAAGGTGTGGTTCTCTATCATGCATTACAGTCTGTTTCCTTGTTGATTACAATTTGTAAACTATTAAATTTTAGTGAGCTTTAATAACCGTCCTACTTCAAATATTAAAATTACAACTTCCAAATGTATTGTATTTTTTTATATCACTTTCAATGTCAAACTAATTTTTTCCAATGAAATGCTTCAAAGAAGTCATTTTATACGTGGAGTCAATCTGAACTAACAGCACAATAAGATGAACTGCAGAACTGGTTGCAAACCTAACATGTCCATCTTTTCTACATTTTCTCTCCATATTATTTATGATATTATTGTGGATAATTTGACTATTATGAAGTCAAGTTGGCATTCAACTAAAGCCTCCACAGTCCACACCCTTCCCCACCAACCAAAGAGACAAATCCAGATAAACAAAAACAAACAAACAAAGAAAAAATATAGAACTTCAAATATCCTTGATTGGAGTTTCTTCTCAAATAACCAGTCCATCAATGCTTACTGAGAAAGAAGAAAAGGTGATGCACATACAATCTCAATTGTATTTGTTCTTTTACAGACAGTAAAGTGATTTTAGGCCAGTACCACCTGTCAAAGATGCCTTCTTTTTTTTTTTGGTGTAGCAGGAAGTTCTGTGTGAACTTTTGGAGAATTTTATTCAAAATATAACTAGCAGAAACAAACTGCTAGACCAATGCCTCTGCATGACTGGAAGTGGTAAAAGCTGTTTCATATGTCTCCATGCCACATATAGGAAAAAAAAAGCAACTTACATCCTAATGATACAAGAAAAAAATATTAAGTAATATGAGACTGATACAAGAAAAAAATATTAAGTAAAATGAGACTGATACTTACCACAATCATAACACTGTCCTTGAAAATCAATGGTGATAGGAAGACCCAAAAGATGTCATAAAGAAATGCACAACAAAGAAGTATCGTAGCAACCTAAAGAAAAATAACAATATCAGGTGACAGATGTCAAATATGAGCAATGAAAGATTAGATATTGTGATATTAGGTACCTTTATATTAGGTAATCGAGCCATCTGCAGGACTGTTATCATCAAACAGATACCCTGCCAAAAACAAAGACCTGTTTAAAACGTGATCATTTTTCTTCATGAGAGAGTGAAAACAGTGGAGTTTTAACAAGGTTTCAAGAAGCTACAGATTGCCAATTTTATGAAATAACAAAAAAAAAGTCCCTCGATGTGCAATATATAAACTCAACAGTAAAAAAAAGAAAGAAAGGATATTACACAACAATATATCTCAGCCTTCTTTACTCTGAGCTGTCATGTATGCTTGTAAGGAACACACAAGCACAATCAGATCAAATAGCAGATTCCTATTACCAGGGTAGCATGCCAGCTGACATTAAATTTTACTAGTTCACTATGCCAAGTGAGGTAGACTATCACTAAATCCAAGTCATGATGTCAAAAAGTACGAGGCAGCATATAAAATATAAAATTTTGAGACGGTTCAATCCTACAGAATATAATTTAATAACAAATAAACATTTTACTGAAAAGAAAAGAAAAAATGAATGTATCATAGTCATAAAAAAAATGAGTACATGATCTGTAAAGCAGAAAATCATGGATACCAAGTCAAATGGCCTTAGACGTGTATAAGGATACAAACTAAATCATAGTCCAGTACAAACTTCAGTGGTCAATCATGAATTATCGTCCAATAGAAGAAACTACAACTAGATAACAAAATCTAAAATGAGCTTTCTGTAAAGAACAGTACCATAATAAAGTACAAAAACTGTCGCTGCAAAATATAATAAATCGACCAAAAAATTGTAGATAAGAACTCAGTTGAAATAGAACCTATACGTGATGCAATAAAAAATGATAAAGAATCCCAGCCCCCGCACAAGAGAGAGAGAGAGAGAGAGAGAGAAGATCCCTTCCCCCCAACCTAACTCTCTCCCCAGTCAAGATCGAGAGAGAGAGAGAGATTAATTTTCCCTTCTTGACCCATCATGTAAGTAATTTAATAGTTTGCAAAAGAAGCTATAAAAGGAGAAACAAAGTTTTCACAGACACTGGCAACTACATTAAAATCATGTATAAATCAATATACCGAAATCTCATACAGAAGTGTAACTGATGGATAATTACCTCACCAATAGAACGTACACTTTAATATCTCTATTGTTTCCTATGTATGCTTTTATATCACTATTTTTGTGAATCATATAATATCATCAATAGAGCATAAACTTTAAAGCTGAACTCAGACCGCTGAATACCTTTCGAAAAACCGATGCTTATAACCATGGATATTTTTTTTTGATAAGTAAAAAAACACTAAAAGTAAAGCAATACATTAATTTTATATACATATTCGATAGTCAATATTTGTCCCAGTAAATGTGGACAATGAACGGTAGGGGTGCAATACATTAATTTTATATACATATTCGATAGTCAATATTTGTCCCAGTAAATGTGGACAATGAACGGTAGGGGTAGATTACATAAAATTTTTACTGGTGGCATCATTTTCCAACTCTATTAAAACTCCAACCTGCATTGTCAGGGTTGGCAATTTAAGCTTTTACCACTACACCAAACAATAGACTGCATCATACAAAAATGTAACAACTTATGAATTCATACATATATACACATATAATACACGTGTTTATAAAATTGTGATAATCTATACATGCAGATAACAATCATACGCTTGGTTAAAGAGAGTTTTTAGGAGCTCGCAGAGGAAACATGCAAAAAAAAATTTCAATGTACAATCACCATTCAGCACGTGCTAAAAAAGAAGTGTGTATTGCAATTATCATCGCTAAAGCATGAAACTAGCTTGGTTGTGATAGAGATCAAACTTACAAGAACATCTTGACCAACCCATGAATAGGACGCCTTCCTATTTACAGCCCACAAAATGGCAAATGCAAAGCAAAATAACAAAACCACAAGAGAGAGAACGGAAACATCTCCTAGAAGAGGCACATTCACCATCTTCTGCCCAGCGTTTTTGCATTTTCTGCCCAACAAATCAAATCAGGACAAGGAACAGAGTGTGAGAGAACTGAAGAAATATATTAATCATAAATGGCTAGTTCATAGATTTACACATAAAGGAAGTGCATTCAACTATACCTTAACATAAGAGATACTATGCAAGTATGCATTCCCTGATAACAAAAACAAAATTAATGAGCATGAGGCAGAAGTTAAAAACTAAGATTAGTTACTACCAATTTCATTCAGAAGTGACAGGAAAGAAAAATCTGGAACTGTTTCATTCGATCTGCATACATCAACAATTTAAATTAAAAAAAAAAAGTGAACAATACTTTAATGGATTGCGCAGTTGATGAGTGTCAATCTTCATCCTATAATATATATATATATATATATATATATATATATATATATATATATACATAAAGCTGAATTAAACTGAAGAAGCCCAGAAGTACCAAAATATTAAAACCAAACAGGTTCTGAACAAGGAAGGCTAAACATTCACTATTGAAAACTAATTAGGATAAAGCTCAACATAATTTTCATAAGCCACCAAAAGAGGCAACCAGCGAACTGCAGGTTAAATCACTCAGCAAATCATTTCATGATATTGTTACTGAAAATCATTTTAAGATATCATTATTCCTTATTTGTTATTGTGATATTATAACTTCCTACAAATTCTATACACATATATATATGAGTGGCAATATTACGAATGAAATGTTCATGAACTGTCAGATTAGTTTGAATGAGAAAACGACCGTTCCCCTTTTTCATATTAACAGCATGTATCCAACGTGAAACTGGGGAGTGAGAAGGAAAATAGTTTAGGTGCTCAAAAATCTACGGGCAAGTCAAGTATCCAACCGTGCGCAAACTGATGAACATTTATTATTGTTATGCTGCATGGATTTTAGTTGACCTGAACATAAATGTTCAAAAACTCATTTTTAGTTTCCTAGAAATGGAGTGTTATAAAATACCTACACAAGTGCACCATCCTTACTTTTTGTAGTACTAATAATCCCTTAATTTATGGCAAGCAGGCAATTGCACATCATCTCAACCAAAGCAGATGAAGCAAATGTAGCAGGTAGCATGCTTCAATGGTTATTACTCGTGAAACTAGGGGGGAAAAATTGGTTATTACTCATGCTGGTACACAATCAGAATCATAATTTAGCAACAAAACAGAGGACATAACAATAATGAATTTCAATACCTGAATTCCACCAATGCAGAAAAGTACAATCAGCAGCCACACAAACCAAGACGACATAAACAGATAAAGTAGCACCAGAAAAGCAGATGCCGTTATGACAAAAATTACAGCACTCTTTGCACTAATATCAAGGACTTCCTTCTCAGCATCATCTTCAACTGTTCCAGCATTCAAAGATTCCTGACCAGTAAAAGAAGAGACAACATTAACCTACGGATTAGATGAAAATATATACCAAAAAAAAAAAACTAAATGCAAAAAGAAGAGAAGATAAAAATACCAATTTACTAAATAATTTACTAATTTAAAGTCCTTGTCCAATTTGAATTTAAGATTGTCAGTTAACCAAAATACAAAGAGTTACTTTCACCCAGAGCAAAGGATTATCACTCCACACCTTTTTAGTTTTTTTTTTTATTATTTTTTATAAGAAATTACTCCTCCTTTTAAATTAGTAAACAATGGAATATGAGATCCAATAGGAATTAAAAACATTATGTTTTGCTTACTTGTGCTGTGTATAAATGATTATTTAACGGTAACCTAATGAAAGATCTTTCCGAAATTTCTTCTTTCTGATTTCACAATATTCAGTTTGGTTTTTCCACTCATAAATTGAGATTTACAATGAATTTAGGTATATTGTCAAAGCTCTGCGGTTTACCAGCGACCCTGGTCTCATTCATCAAATTTCTTATAGTTATATTCCTCAGAAAAATGATGTTGCCCGAGAGTACAAAATGGACATTTGACTAAAAGCATTCAAACCTAAATATGCATGCAGGATTGCAGGGAAAGAGTCTTGGCATGACAATGTTATGGCAACATATTAGCTTATTAATCGGATGCCCTTATCTGTTCTTATTGGCCAAAATACTCGTTACATTTTGTTCCAACAGCTTCCATAGTTTGAGCCGCCCCGTTGAATTCTTGATTGTATTTGTTTTGCACAGATTTTTATTCAGTGCCTTAGACAAATTACTAGTGCCTCTCCATGGGCCAGTCTCGAACTCAAAGGAAAACAAGTTTGGAATTCATAATCTCCTAATTACTTTGGCAGTGTCAATGTTACCTTCTTTGAGGGTACATCTTTCTTTCTCCACAAATTCCTCCTTTTGATAATGACGCATTTGTAGATTTTCAAATTACGAGACTACCAGTTGCTCCATTTCCAGATGTTCGTGATGACTCTATACCCACATGTATTCTACTTATGCAGGCTATATTATACAAATAGTCGTTGTTAGAGACATTCAAAGCTCTCTCAATATCTTCCTTTCCTTCCTTCTCCTCCCTTTCCACTTTACTTTTCCATTTAATCAGAATCATGGCTAACAGCCCATTTTTTTGTGAAGGTCGGCTGATTTTGACAATCTGAAGTCTTTTGAGGTTTATTTTCATTGGTTGGTGTAATATATAAAATTTCTTATTCCTCTTCATTGGTGATTGAAACTTGTATGTGGTGTATCTAGAGTTGAAATGGATAATGAACAAGAAGATGCAGGAGACTAATCAGAATTCAGGAGTAATTCTAAAGAGGTGATGGCTCAAAGTTATACTCCAACTGAACAGTCAATTCTCCAGGCTACCTCTGGTAATTTAATATCTAAAAATGGCTCAATGGTTTACACAGTTTGAATATGATATTTAATTATGTGTCTTATCATTCTCTTTCTGAAGAAATAAGAGCCCTTCACAGAAATAATTCTAGGGAGCCTGTGGATGAATAGGAGGAAGAAACTGTTAGGGACGATAAGCTGGTCACGGTAAGGCATAAAATGGAAAAAAAGTTTTACGACATTTTGTTACCTCAAGTCAGCTCCAGGAAAGGGCTTGTTGTTTGCCAAACAAGTCATTTGAGAGACGAATCTATTCAGACACTGACAAGGCTGAATCAGTAACTGATAGGAGATCCAAGTTGGGCACGGAACAGAGTTAGATCTACTGGTTTATGGGATGTGAGAACTATTGTGGTTAAGATTTCGTTGAACGATAAAATCTTAGAAAATAAACAAACTATTCATGCTATGGTCAAGCATAACAGACCAAGCATATCAAACTGGATAGGCATCATATAAGAAATCAAGTGCATGTCTGATTTTCCTGCCTTATGTGAAATCAGGAGAGCAGTTGGCAGTTATATCTACTGAAGAGGTGTCAAGTGTTGCACTTTATTCTTGGCAAGCTGGGTATGCAACTGGGAGGGATACTTTCGTAATTGCCAATGATATATTACAATTAAGAGCCGGCAAAAAGTGGTCCAGATACCTCCCTCTTCCTTTTATTTTACCTCTCCTCTATCTCTTATCTCTCATTCTACTTCTTTACAGCACAATAAACCCTACAAAACAAAATATTTAGGATTTCCAGTTTTCATAGTATACTTGGTCATGGTGATGCAAACTGGGTTCGGTATCAATTCTCTATTTCTGTTGGGGTTAGGTCTGCATATTACACATTGGTGGCGACACGGTTACGTGGAAAAGCAAGAACCAGAGTAGTGGCAAGATCAAGAACAGGAAATACGAATACAGAGCTATGGCACCAATTGGTGTAGACCCTTCTTTTATTAAATAAGATTCCTCATTTCCATAGAGAGGCAAAAAAAGATAACTTAACGAGCACGCTAGAAAATGGACTTAGAGAGAAAATTGATTGCTTTGAGTCAACTTTCAAAGGTTCAGCACAGCAGGAGAGTTTCATTATTTTATTTGAGTCTGAAAAATCATTGGCACGTACAAAATGGGCTGTGGAAATTTTGCGAGAGATGTAAATTCTTTTAAGGCACACCTAGAAACAAATCGTGTTAGTCAAACTACTATATATACTACTCAAAACCTAGTATTCCATGACATAACCACACATAAAGAGGTAGGTTGCAATTTTGTATGATATATGGTGATGAGAAGAAGATTTACGTAACACACAGACTATAGCTTCAAAGATGTATTGCTTTTCTGGACAACGTAACATTATTGGGCATGATAAATATCTATAATCCAACCATGAGGGAGTCTTACGAGTGCTTTTGTGTACTAGAGGTAAATTTTTATTCAAGTTTCTGTTGATATAAGTAGAAGAAACATCTCTCCCACAAATAACACACCCTCCCTCAACAAGGTTCTCTCTCTCTCTCTCATGCAACTAAAGTCAGTGTTATGTCTGTGATGAGAATTCAATCATTTTTAGTTGAGATGAGTAAACTTTTTACTTACTTATAACAAGACAGATGCATGTCATAGGCATTGGAATTTGGAACTAAAGATATTGTAAACTTCAAGGACACAATGGAAGGAAATATATTTAAAACCTTTTGCGATAGTTCATTGTAGCGGTCATCATTCTGCCCAGTAAACTCCGACCAAAGTGAAGCACAGACAACCGTTCCAACAGCCATTAACCATAAGAATATAGCTGAGAAGTCCACAATTGGACTATTTGGCGAATACATCAGAATTTCCACTACATTGAAGAGTTATGGTTAGCTATGTCTAAATCATCAAACGAAAAGAAACTTCATTAATGGAAGTACAAGCACATCACATAAAATGCAGATAACGAGAAAAGCTCATGCATGAGTTGTGGGCACACATTTATGCAAAAACCTAAAATTTATTAACATGTACTTTTCACATATTAATTACACATAGCAAACATAAAAGAGAGGGGGGAGAGAGAGGTTACAGCGATTAGGGTTTCTTAAAATAACACTGCTACTCGTGGTTTCTAAAATTATAAAACCTCATAACATTCACCTCACTCCCTTTAATTAATGGTCAAATGTCTATATAAAAGAAACAAAAATAGAAAATAACGGTGTGATTTGAACAAAGAATTTGCTAGCTCTTTTGTGCTCCAGCATATCATCTTTTAGTGAATCCGCTACATCATATTTCTCAGTCAATAATCCATAGATGTCTTGCTCTACAGTTCCTCAGTTAACGTTGAATGTATCATCTTTGATTTCTCTTAGAGTTTAATATAACACTTCAAAATTGTTCTGGTGACTTAGATGAAAAACACACTCACAAATAACAGTTTCAAAATAATTTATGAACCTTATTTCAAATATGCTGTCAACTTAATTCATTTGAAGAGAACTTTTTCCATGGTCATAGAGGTTGGTTAGCAACACTTATCATGGTTACAATGAATGCTATAACTGTTTCTTAATTTTTTGTAAATTGTAATAACAGGAAACCTAATGGCTATCATTCATGTAGATTCTATTAAGTTTGTTATTCAACAACGTCATATATATCATGTATATCAGAACATTTCCGTTTCAAATGTCATTATTATTGTTCAATTGTCATTTCCAAAAAACAAACTACAATTTTTAAAAATAAAATAGCATTAAAAGCACCAAACTGAAATTAAAATTGGAGTGAAAAAGTATTGCTATAACATGAAGTCAAAGGAAGAGAAGCAGGGCTAGTTTAGTAAAAAATTCAGTGGGAGGTTAAAATAATTTTTAGAAAACACAAAGAAGGTTGGTGATATCTGTAGAAACTCGTGGGAGGAATTAAGGAAATAGTGTTTAAGCATGCGCGCATGTGTAAGTGCTGCTACCATGTGTGTCTGGAAAAAGATAAAAACCACAAATTTAAATTTACATTTTCCCATTTATTGTACAAACTTCTTTAGCGAACCCCACAAAGTTATTCAGAAGTAAAACCTAACAAAGAGAAAGCACTTTACTCCTTTTGCCACATTGATCAAACATAAGTCAACTGGTCGAAAAAGCCAAATTCCTGCCCATCTAGAATCTCTCTAATAATGTCAAAAAGAAAGAACTCTCAAAACACCTGACAATGGGAACAGAATCTTGCACACTAAACAATTCCTTTTTCTCATTCGCTATCTCCACTAGTGAGTCCCAGTCTCTCAATAAATCACCTTCTATTCATCTACCTTCATTACTGCCTAGGTAACAAAACCGTTCTTTAAGGAAAAAAAGAAAAAAAAAAAAAAAAACCCTTTTTTGGTAGTTTCAACATTCTAAAACCAGAAATTTGTCTGCACAACCAAAAATTTGACAAAATTGAATCAACTCAAACACTCACCACTCCCTCCACCTGCCATAGATCTGTTTACAGCCTCTCCTCCCGTCTTTGAGATCATCACAACAGGAATTGTAATGTTTGAAGTAGTATCATTTTTAGAACAAGCCATCTCAAAAAGATCTGCAAAAAGGCAGAAGAAGAAGGAAGGGGGTAGAAAAAGGGAGAACAAAAACAGGTCAGAAACATGGTATAAAGTAACAATGGATAAATTTAATAAATTAAATTTCAAAATGTATGTGTTTCAATGCATTAAATATTAAACCTTCTTTGTCATTTATCACCAACAGGGCTGTTGCACCTCCTGATTGTGCAACTTCAGCTTTAGTCGTGAAATCACAATCACCGCGTGGAGACAAAACAACAAAGCCATCTAACTACAAAAATTAGAAGAGACAATTTAACACAACAATTTTACAGGAACCATATTTCTTCCTAATCATTTCTAAAAAAAAGATCTGGCAAAATTCCATCCTTCCCCAAACGAATTATTCAAAAATTAAGAAAATAAAATCATCAGATCAACTAAGCACAGTATGTATTCATTTGGCTTACTTGAGATGAGCTTCTTTTTAATGTCTGAACCAAAAAAAACAAAACTTATTATCGAAATATTTTTATATTTACCTTTCCTTAATTTCTCAGCAACCAAACAAGAGGACAAGATAAAACAATATTCACTAAAAAGTACAACCAATTTTCAATGATACTGCAACAAGTAGATGAGAGAATGTCTAATATGAAGATGTACACAACCTTTGAAGAGGAACTAGAACAGCAGTTTAACGGATTTGGAAAAATGGCAGGCAATCTGAGGGCTTCTTTAGCACGTCTTGGCAATTCAGCACCAAAGCTTGCACTTAGCCCACCTAATGTTTCACCTTCAACACCATTAACCCAGGTCATAACCTTGACCTGAAAAATAAATTAAGTAAAAAGAACCATATTACTTCATTTATAACTATAATGATAATGTAAAGACTAATAAAAAAATCACACATATAGAGAGGCATGTTAAATTGTTCTCCGTTGGGTAAGACTTGCTTCTCCGTAAAATAGCAGTTAAAATGGTTTTTTTTCTTTTTTTGTAAGTTCTTCAAAGTAAGGGTTTACCGCCACAAGGAATTGTCTTGCTTTACAAATGCATTTTCAACATATACTTAAACAACTACCAAGCCTTTTTCCCACCTACCTGGGGTCGGCTACATGAATCCAATGTTTCCATTCCACTCTATTTAAGGTAATGTCCCGAGTCAATGCACGTGCTATCATATCCTCTCTAACTAACTCTACCCACGTTAACTTTGGCCTTCCTCTTCACCTAATATTACCCTGTGTCACTTTTCCTAACTGGTGCACTAATAAAAAAACACACTCTACAAGTGATTTCTAGCTTTTAGTTTTTAATGTTCTTCCTCTTCAAATTTTCATCACTTTTAATCCTTAAAAACTCAAAAAACATATTGAATCAACATTTCTTTTGCACTTCAAATCTCTTTTGACAAAGTGTAATCAGTTTCCTCCTCAAAACACTGAACCTAGTACCCACAAAACAAAAAATCTAAAACCTAAAATCTCCACCAAGTTTTGGCCTTGATAGACCAGCAATAAACCACCAAAAACCTACCTTAAAGCTGCTCTACATGAGTTGGACTATCATAGCTTATCCAAGGGTGTTCCTTGCACTCATCTACATCATTGCTCTTAGTTAAGAATCATTTAAACATATATGCTGATAGTTCACCCAAGAACCGAACCAATTTGGGAAAGAATGTGAGTTCCTAAAAATTGCTTTAAGATTTGGAAGTCCCCTAACAAGAAACTCTATTTGTCAAAAGCAAACATGTGAGTGCATACAGCATACAAAGTCATGTATCCGCATTGAAGACCGAAATACAGAACAAATAGCCTCTTAAAAAATCCTCGGAAAAGATTTTTCTTTTTCAGGTATTTTTTTTTTTTTTTGTTTTCATTTTTTGGTGTTTGGCAAAGGTCTAGGTCAAATAACTTGTCTTGACAAATTGATGGGTAAGTTATTTTTGCTAGGTTTTAATATTTTTTTTCTTCCTAAAACAACCAAACACTAGAAAATAAAAAAATATATTTTCTGAAAAATATTTACATCTAAACAATTGGAGCCTAAATGTGTTGACATCAAAGCTTAACTACACGCACAGACTTGGCAGCAACTAAACTACAGGAAAATGTCTTTAATAGCTCGTAAAATCGCACTTCAGCAGGCTTATCATACTCACGAATTAAACCATAAAGTTTTATCTAACAATTCCATCCAAATTTCAACATTCTCCCAATCCGTTATTCCGTATACACTAAAAGATACATATAATTAAATCAAATCTAAGGATCTCATTGAACAATAAGCATGCAATACAGAGGACTCAGAAGACAGATGGGATTGAATTTACCAATCGGAATTCATGGTCGCAATAGGGAGAAGATTTGGGATTGGAACGGTGATCGGCGGTCGAAATCGATATACAGAAAACGAAAAGAATCCCGAATGCGATGATTGCAGCGTTGCGGAGAGAGAAAGTTGTGGCCATCGCCGACGACGATCTTCGTATTCCTCTTCTTTGCATGCACAACTGACCTTCAACTACTAAATTAATTAGAACACTCGAAAGAGTAGAGAGAAGAGAAATTGAGATGAAAATGCTAAACTTGTCTATCCCGCTTACCTTGTTTTTGTTCTCTAATGAAGAATTACAAGTTTTCTGGAAACGAAGTAAGAAATGTGAGATTAGTGAAAACTCTGCGTATTAGTGAGACAGAGACGTCTCACCCGTGTCAATAGCAATATTGCATACCCCAATCCAAAGATTCACGTACAAAGGGGTCGTTAAAGTAAGGCGGATTTGGTTAGATGAAAAAAAAAAACAAAAAAAAAAATTAAAGAATTTATTTGGTTAGCAAGAATTTTTTTTAAGAAATTTGTAAAAAAAATATTGTTTAATAGTTTGAATATTATTAAAAGTAATAGAAAATATTTTAATTTACCTAAATTTTCTATTTTTAATTAAATATGGCAATAGTTCTAAATAAATTTATATTTAATTAATATTTATATTTTTTTGAATAAAAATAATTTAAGAATCTCAATTATAAAATTTTGTAAGATACCTGAAGAGAGAAGTACCTATTATAATATTCTTACCTATTATAATATTTTTACCAAAAATCACGCATAAATACAATTTATTTTAGAAAGTGAGAAGGGTGTAATTGGAATTTCATATATTTTTCTCAAGAAAGTAAAATTGTCCTGTGTTTTTTTAAAAAAAAAAATATATATATATATATATGGAAAATTTGAATGGTTATGGAAAGTTTTTTTCTTACAAAATTTTCCTTTTCTTTTCCATTTAGGTTTTTAATCCATATTAAAAAAAATACCAAAAATAAAACTTTTAACTTTTCAAGATAAAAACTTGAAAGTCAAACTCTCATAAAAAAAATAATTAATAAATAAAAACCTATTTCGAGCCCCTTGAATATTTGCCATAATAACACAAATATATTATGCTGCATAAATATTTAATAGAGATTAGTGATGTTTTTCAAAATACATGTATTACCAATGCCGTTCCACTTTTAAAATCAGACTTTTTGTTTAAATGGAACATGTTGAGGCTGAAATTCGTTTATATGTTTCCCTATCAGAACACACTACCAATATTTATCATCAACCAACCGTCATCATCAACATAACATAATTGGTTTAAAAATCAATTAACAAATAGAAGGGGTTGATTTGTTGACTTTCTTAATATCAGTTAACAATTTTGCTCTCTAATCATTGGGGAGAAAGAGTTGTTAGTTATCTGTATAATGAACCTAAAGAATGAACTTACGTAATTTTAAAGCACTAAAGCAATTCTAACATTCGTTTAGAATGACAAAATTTAAGTATATTAGAAGTTGGTTGAAGATTTGGAAATTTGCATCCTAAATAACCTTGAATGTAAAAATGTTTTTCAAAAAAAAAAAAAATTTTATTTTTATTTTTTAGTGTTTGATTTCTGTAAAATATTTACAAATATATTTATATATATTAAAACCCCTCAATCTCGGTCTAAAACTTTGTTGAATACTGAAAAAGTAAAAATAAAAAATATGGAGTACATATTTTGCCCATAAAAGAAAAATCTTTTTAGAGGCCAAAATAACCTGTGGTGAACTTGTGGTCGGGGTGTGTCATATGTGATGTTATCTCTAATTGGTATGATGCATTTTGGAGTAAAACCTAAGAACAAAACTGTATATGCTCGGGCTCAAAGCGAAAAATATCATACCTATAGTGGAATAGGTCGTTACAAATGATATCAGCTCACATCCCTTGGGTAAGGAAGCTTATATTTGGTGCCAAAAGTGAACCTTGTGGGAAAGTGCTAGAGGCACTGGCAGGCTACCACATCCAAAGAGGTGAAATGCTTATATTTGGTATTATTATCTTTAAATAATATTTGGCATTTTAGGGTAAAACCCAATATCAAAACCGTGCAGGTTCAAACCCAAAGCGGACAATATCATACCATAACCTTGTAGGCAAGATACATGTTCACCACGGTATATGTTGGAGTGTTATTTTCAAATGATACGAGGCTTTTTGGGAAAAATCCCAATAACAAAACTATACGAGCTTGAGCCCAAAGCGAACAATATCATATCATATGATAGAATGAGTATTTACAATTGGTATCAGAGCCAGTCGAAAGTCTGACCAACAAGGACGTTGAGCCCCAAGGAGAGGTGATTGTGCCACCTTACGGATGGAAATTCCGTGGGCCGGCGTGAAGACAAGCTACCACACTAGAGTGCACAATCCGGAAAAAAGTGAAGTGTTTATATGTAGTGATAAATCCAAGAACACGACCGTACAACCTCGAATACAAAACAGACAATATCATACTATGTTTTGGAAATAGTCGAATACAAAACAGACAATATCATACTATGTTTTGGAAATAGTCGTTACACAGCTAGACCCTAAAAGTAAACAATTCTACAACTTGAAAGATTAGTGAGACCCTTGCCCATCTCCTAATACACTTCTGAACTGAGACACATTCAAATTAGCAATCAAACATCTCATTGGGCAAATTTCTAGGTTGTTGGAAAATAAAATAATGGAGGTTCGATTTCAAAACAAATACATTTGACCCTCAAAATAATAATTCTGTTAAGTTTGAAAGGGAGTAAGCTAGAAATATGTCATAACAGAACTATTTCCTAAATAATCATCAAATGGCACTCCTCAACCGGATAGATCTATGCTACTGTCAAAGAATGAAACGTACAAGGAACCAGTAACAAATATTGAACACAAGCCTCCTCATCAATCAACAAGAAAAAATAGTTATTTTACATTCACCACAAAGCAGCTCGCTTGAGCTTTCTGCCATGACCCAAAAAATACCAACCCCCAAATTAACCAATGACACATTGAACCTGAAAACTATTATAACGGATAAAAGTAAAGGAAAAAGAAAAAATAAAATTTGCATGTCGCTCTTCACCAAAAAATTATCAATACACCGCTGCAAGTGATCCATCCAAGTGACTGACGGAGAAATATGATAACCTGTATGAGTGAAACCCTTCTTGCTAAACCAGATTTGAGGGCTTGTAAACCAATGTACCCTGAAATGGGCATTTGATCCCCTATAAAAGCCTAATACAAAAGGAATGATGGGGTGAAGACAGGCATCTACTGCCATAGACTAGCCGACTCACCAGACAATGACTCAACCCAAAACCCACATTAAGAAAATAATGTGGGAATTGTGGAGTTCCTTACTCCACATTCTGCTCATCTCCGGTAACTTGGATGTACATTCAACCCTGAAGACCCACTGGGGCTGACTGAACTCCATGACCGGTAAACCCATCAAAAACTCCACCTAGACTCTGCAACAACTCTTGGTTTTCATAAGCCATTACTAAATGAACGGAATGACCAAAGGGCAGGGAGAGCAAAGAAAAATTCAAGCCACAACATCGTCTACGCCAGCTTCATGAAGCAGCTGCAGCTGATGCAGACGCCTTCTCTATTTTTTCCTTCTCAATTTCTGCCCTTCTCTGCTCAGCATGTTGTGCAACACCATTAGCAAGTGCTTGATAATGGAAGTCAAGCGTTTGTGAGAGGTTCTGGAACCTCAACGGATCTGATGCTTGCAAAGCTAGATTCAATGATAGAGAAACACGAGGAAACATTTTTACCTCAGTCAATACAAACCCAAAATGAATCTCTAGAGTTACAAGGACAAAAGGAAGAAATTTGCAGTTACCTTTGATAGTGTCCACAAAGAAAATGAAAGGGTCAACCTCATCAATGGGTGATTGCAAATCTTCATCATCACTGAAGTCGTCATCTGAATCATCGTCATCTGAATCAGCTGAGCGGAAAGCCTTTGCCTGTGACCCAAAATGTCAAGACTCTGATCAGGTGAAAACCCAAAACACCATCACATGTGTACCTAACATTTTGTACAAGTTATTTTTACCATTTATTTCTAAACTAAGAGTAACGAAGCAGCTAAAAGAGAGAATCCTCCAAGATGCCTACTGTTTTACCCTTTTTAATATTCATTCATCACATTTTAACATTAAATAAATTCTTGCAGCCAGATTCTTTTCACGACTAAGTGATTGTGAGGTACATATGGAGTACAACTATAGGGAGTGTAATAAGCATATATTGCTCAATTTGAAACTCTAAGCAAACCACATTCTCATTCGTCTTTTCATTAGTGTCACATGTTAACCTTCGTGTTATTTGACCACTTACTAAACCCCCCATTTAGAGAACCAGTAATAAGCAGCAATTTAGCATAATCAGAAAATTTCAGTCGCATAACGATGTTCCCATCTCACTGCAGTAGAATTTGATTTTTATACCTGATAAGCATACTTTTTTACAACAAACAATAACAAATACGAGGACTGTCCACAGGATATTTGATTTTTTATACCTGATAAGTTTACTTTTTTTTAACAAACACAAGGACTTCCCACAAGAAAATTTTCGTTTTTACTTTTTATCATCAGTTTTCTTGATATTACTGCATTCTTAAGAATATATTTAAGTTGATGAAAACCAACATGAAACAATTTCACTTTCATGCAACTGCTCATCAAATAATAAAAGTAGACGAGACTATTAGACCTGTGCAGCTAATTTTTGAAGTTTAATGCTGTCAGCTTCATCTCCATCTTCAGCATCAACTCCCATTTCCTTGTCAGACCCATCACCATCATCGTCCTCATCATCACTTTGCAAACCATCCATATCATCATCATCTTCAACCTCTTCTTCCTTTGCAGCCTCTGTTCACATGAGATCAAGACAAACAAAAGATTATGGACCAACAGAAACTATAGAACAAATGAAACAATAACCACTCATATAATGCTTGCAACTAGCATTCATTAAAAGTAGGGGTGGCAAATTACGACACGACACGAACACAACACGAGTTAAAAGGGTTTGGGTTTGGTATAAACGGGTTTGGGTCATAAAAGGGTCGACACGATTAACCCGTTTACTTACCCGTGTCGGGTTAGGATTGAGGGGTTCAACCCGTGCAACATGTTTATGACCCATTTAACTTAGCATGTTATAATCGTGAATATGACCTATGTAATATGTTATCTTTTTAAACCCAATTACTATGGATAGTTAAGTCATTTCAATATAAACCTTGTCTATGTCTAATTATTTTTCTTTTTATTTTGAATATTTGGGTTAATTATAACAAATTTTTTCTATTATTTAGTATTTGATTTAATATTAAATGTCTCGTTTTGATAAACAAGTCATTAAACGGGTTAACACGTTTACCTGTTAATTAATGGATTGGGTTAGTGTTGAGGATTTTTGACACGATTATTGAATGGGTTGGGTTTGGGTTTACTTATTTAATATAATACCCTTACATCGACACGAACACGAATTGCCACCCCTAATTAAAAGCAGCATTGATGAACCTCAAAATCCAGCAGTCGGGACTTGAGTCATCAAAGAAACATTAAAGAAGGGGAGAAAGAGGAAGTAATAGACTAATAACCTGCCACTTGATCCTTGTAGGCAACAAGTAGATCGAGAGTGGCATGGAAAACACGCCCTAAAGCGTCTCCAGGCAATTGTTCCGCAGGAAGAGGAAGCAATGATGTCAATCCCAAGGAGCAAACTTTCTTATCATGTTCCCTGCAATATCAAAAACGAAATGCATGTCACACTGAAGAAAGGGGAAGAGGGAGGAGTATTCATGATTAACCCAAGAAAACAAGAATAACAAATACCTTTTGAAATTGGCCCGAACCCCACTCTTTTTCGTTTGTTGCAACATCTGGAACCAAAGGTTAAAAATTTCTGTGGCAACACCAAGTTTTTGCAATATGTTGAGTGTCAATGATGCATTGTAGTAAAGAGCATCAGCAATCTGCAAAACAATACAATTGCTTTTGATGATGAAATACTACAGCAAAAGAAAATCTTCAACGTATTTTAGGGAACTCCCAACTCACATCCATAATAAATTTTAAATGAATTGACATTACAAACACAATACTAAAATGCAATCAACCACCCTCCACGCACTATAAAAAAATAATAATGGTGAATGCAGTAACTAGATTTACATGTTCACGCACTAAGTTCGCACGAAGACTCTCTCCCTCTTTCCTACTATAGGTACGTGATCTAGTAGGTAACATTCCAAACTCTCACAGGTATTATCTCAGTGCCCCAAGTCACCGGTATACCATAAATGTGACTTTGAGAAGACTGTACCTTGACCGTGCTTCCTGAAGAGCTAATTGACAAAATTCCTGGATTTAAGAAACAACTGCTTCACCCTTTCTGGAAATAGACAGATGCCCCGACCTTTAAAAACTGGATTACTTATAAATATTGAGATACACCGTCCTCTGAATAGAATTAACAAAATATATGCAATCCATTGTTCAAGTAATAAAATATATATTTAAACGTAATAGTAATTTCCGGAAATTTTATTAAATTTTATCAATCCATAGCTAGAATTTCAGTAAAGTTGTATCGTCAATTTTCATTGCTAAATTAAGCCAGTATATATTTTTTGAGTTCTTTTCGTAGGGATTTTACTGTACTTTTATTATAGTTAGGTCTAAAGTTAATATCCATCCAAGGTGGCAAATTGCCATCTACTTGTTACCTTTTTTTTTTTTTTTTTTTTTTTTTTTTGACAAGTACATCTACTTGTTACTGATTTACAAGATTTGGGGGTGCATGTTGGCTACAGTATGTGCCAGTGGTCTTTTTATATAGAAATAAAAACCAGTAAAGTTTTACAAGATCAGGGCATGGTGTTGGCTACAGTATGTGTCAATCTCCCAAGGACGCAGAACACAGCTAAAAATTAAAATTCTTTTCAGGATTTTTTCTGGTAAAATGGTGTTTTATATAGAAGTGTGTTCACTCATTTTGAAGCAATAATAATAAAAAGAAAACACAAGAAGCTAGTTTTATTTTGTAAGTAATTTTTTTTTTTTGGAAGGCGCTCAACAGGGGAGTGAATCCTGAAAACAAAAAAGAAGAGAGTTTTCAGATATGTATATTAGATCGATGTCTGACTAGACATGTTAGACACGTATCGGAAACACATACCCAAGTGACACACGAGTCTATTTTGTTACTTAGCTGGCCACCAACTTGTAAGAGAAGGATGAAATCAATTTTACGGTAAAACTAATCCATTCCTCCAACTCTCTCCCCCCCCCCCCCCCCCTCTCTCTCCTCTTCTTCTCTCTCCACATTGTCCACAGAGTCGGGAAAATAGAGCATAAAAAGAAGTCAACAAAAAGGGAAAATAAAACAACCAAAAAAGACATCCAAGAGACTTGATTTTTTCACAAATGGGAAGCCCATTCCATGTGCCTTACCACTTGCATCAACAGGCATCTCAAATATGGTTTCTCAGTACGACGCAACCGCTCAACTGTAACTCTAATATATGGCTCAACCCACTGATCCACCTGCCCTCTGCAGTTCTGAAACACCACTTCGACGAGCTTAGGAGCAGGCTCAATATCATTATCCTCCAAATTTTTATCTCCCAAGATCTGCACGATAGAAGACAAATTAAGCAGTTAGTAATCACATAGAAGGGGGAAAAATAGTAAAGAAAGCACAAAAGAACAGAAACATAGAAAGAAAAAAAATCAGATAATTATCTCATCACACACACACACACATATATTACGTAAATAATTGCTTGCACTCAATAGTCGAGTCAAAAAAAACAATGATAAAGATGAAAGTAACTCACAGATGAAATCATATTCCAAAGACTCTGCTGGTAGTCTGGTTCCTTGCACGTAAGAAAATGTGCAGTACTCCTGGATATATAGTTATCAAGTGGAACCAAAATATCTGCAAAAGATAGAATCCGCAAAAACCAAAGTGAATTTGAGAGAGAAGCAGAGGGAACTTCTACAAGTGATGAACTACAAATGGTAAAGCATAGCAAAACTAGGAGGAAAGAACATAGTATTCACCAATGAAAAATTAACCTATAGTTCCTACAAAATCAAGATCCAATACAAAACCCAAAATACAAATTAAAATATATATATATAGAACTAGAAGAAATGTGAGTCATCAGAATAGTAAGAAAATCTTCAGGACCCTTAGATAAGTTTCACTCTTTCTTGGCATGATGGAAAATAAGTAACGGCCACAAAATGGAAAGTGTTCCAGAACAATGCTTATGTTTGCTACATACACTCGAGAATACACCATGGGATTATATAACAGCTGGGTGACAGAAAAGGTGTCGTAAAACTAAAATAGACCACAACATAACCAAAATGGAGTTATACCAATCCATGGCTGTTATCAACTACGACAGTTAAAGAACCAATGTGATAGTAAATGTAAATTACTAAAGAAGTTCAATATTCTTTTATCTTTGACACCTAAGGCTTAGAAACTGCTTCTTCTTGGCAAAATCAACTTAGCAAAGCTTTTTCACTTCTTCTTAGGGATGGCTATGTGAGTCCTATTTCCTCGTTCCCCTCTATCAAAAGGTCATAACCCTAGTCAAACCACATTTAGCATGCAGAAAATTTCAAAACTAAAGAAAGATGTTACTTCAAAAAAATAAAAAAATATTAAAAAAAGCTTTCAAAATAATAAATCAAATTTTCAATGATTTACACGTCAAAATAGAAAGTATTCCGGAACAATGCCTAGGTTTGCTACATACATTCAAGAGTACACCATGGGATTATATAACAGCTGGGTGACACAACAGGTGTAGTAAAACTAACATAGACCACGACATAACCAAAATGGAGTTATACAAATCCATGGCTGTTATCAACTATGACGGTTAAAGTACCAATGTGATAGTTGTCAATATAAATTACTAAAGGAGTTCAATATTCCAACTAATCACCACTCTTTATCTTTGACACCTAAGGCTTAGAAATTGCTTCTTCTTGGCAAAATCAACTTGACAAAGCTTTTTCACAACTTCTTAGGGATGGCTATGTGAGTCCTATTTCCTCATTCCCCTCTATCAAAAGGTCATAACCCTAGTCAAACCACATTTAGCATGCAGAAACTTTCAAAACTAAAGAAAGCTGTTACTTTAAAAAAATAAAAATTATTAAAAAAAGCTTTCAAAAGAATACATCAAATTTTCAATGATATACACTTCAAATTCATGATTTAATACTTCCATTTCTGTGTACATCCAAACACAAGTAAAGCTTCATGATAACCTAAGTTATCACTGTTCAAATTATACAGCTTCAAGTAATTCTCAGGTAACCAATATTGGTGCCTCCTCTGGACTCTTTGGCTTAGGAGAGTTGGCTTGTGTGGTCAACCCCTTACGTCAGGGTTTGAGGATTAGTAGAGCTAGATGATAGAATTCACAGGTAACCAATCAATCAGCCCAGTTCCAATGACTTGTGACAGTAAAGTGTTTCTTTATCATCAAAATAATCTTTAATCAGATATGGCAATCCATAAGACTCTCAGCAGTTGCACTAAATGATGATAACAGGATTTATAGACATGCTAATGAAAAATGAAACCCCACAGTTTAGCAGAATACGTCAGAATCCTAAAATGCAAAGAAAATACACAACTGAAAACCAAAACATAAAAAAAAAAATGGGTACAAAAACTATTAGTAATTCAATACCAAAAATTATTAGTAAGGATTGCCAAGATGGTATCGACAGTAAATGAGACACAGTAATACACGGCAATATACACAAACGTACTTGGAAAAAAATCAATAGCCCAATCAGCTAATGCTTCCATCATCAATGGCCAAAGACTCCACATATCCATGGATATCGTCGGTGAAAAAAATGTCATATACGACACGATTTCCAAAACTTCCTCAAAGACCTCTGCGGAAACATATGTAGATTAGAACCATACATAAGAGCAAACTGAATGAATAAATATTAAGATATAGTTGTTCTTTGTTATTGTTTTACCACTACACCAAGCAAGGCCTCGATAAAAAGGATATATAATTGTTGAACAACAAACTGGACTGAGAAATAAGAAATTGAATGAAATATCTCTCACTGAAAGATCAAAAATTAGTAAAAGAGTTATATTAGAGGAAGAATCCGAAGAAACAAGTTTTTCTTAGTAACCAAGTTATATTACAGGTGTAGGAAGTTAAACAGAAAATCAAATAACAAGACAGTCTTTTGAGTACCACAATATCTATGCCTTCTAAGTTCTAGGAAATACACAAGCTCCATGATAGGAATAATAACCATCCAACTAAGAGCCTACAAGTACTAAGGGCTAGTTTGGTACGGAGGAATGAAATAAGGTAGGAATGGAATGAACCAGAGAATGGAATGACCATTCCCATTCTCTCGTTTCGTTATGCATGGCTTAAAAAGGAAAACTGTCTATATATATGTAAACCAAATAAATATATATATATATATATATTTATATATGCGTAACATATATTTTCTTTCTCCTCTTCTCTTTTTTTCAATCTTCCAAAAACAATGTATATTTGGAAACTGAGGAGGGAATATCAGGAGAAGTTGCCTTTTATTGGATCTCTCTCATCGACATTGAAATTTACTCTTGTTTCTTAGTCAAGAATACAATCTCAACGACATGCATCTCTCTCATCAACATATGTCGGTGCTTTATCGCCTATCACTGTCCATGGATGCAAATCGCCGGCTTATTGATCGTCGATCGACTTCAATGGATGCAAATTGCCAGTTGATATCAGATTGGTCATCGATCGACTTCAATGGATCAAATTGCCGGCTGATATCAGATCGGTCGTCGATCAACTTTAATGGTTGATTTCCGGCTGATTTCGGATTGGTTGTTGACCGCCTTCAATGGTTGATTTGGTCTTCAATGTTGTTTAACATTGATCGCCTTCAATGTCGATTTCTGATGCAAAACTGATGTGGCTTGAGTTGTTTGAGAAAAGTGTGTTAGTAATCACATCGTTCAAGCAAAGCAATTTTTAGTATTATTTTTACTCCGTATTTTTTTAAGTGATAATGGAATGCCCATTCCTCTTGTTGAAAAGTGGAATGATTATGATGGAATGACCATTCTCCGAGAAAGGTGGAGAATGGGCATTCCATCTTTAAAATTACTTTCCAAACAAATGAATGGAATTAAAAGCATTCCATTCCACTTTATTTCATTCCATTCCCACCTACCAAACTAGCCCTAAGTGATAGATTTCTATTTCTTGGGAATAATAAATGGAATAAGACATGATAGGTAAACGATAAGCCCTTCAACTGAAAAGCCATCCATATAAAAAAACCAAACCAATGACCGGAATAAAGCACTACTAATAGGTAGAAATTAAAGAAAATATTATCAAAGCGACCCTTAAAAAATCATGTTAACATGAAGCTCTCTAAGTCAAATAATCTCTGCTTTTATCATTAGATGAGCAATTCAAACTTAGCAACTCGCGAGGGTGTCAAAAATAGAAGGTACAAATACTTCCATGAGCCCCTAAAACAAAAAGGAAACTCATCGGGAGAGAAAGAAAGAGAGAGAAGACAGAAAGATTTATACAAATTGCAATGTCTATTTTTTCAGCAATCATTTTAGACAACAAAACAAGAGCTTTAGTAAAAGTAATCAAATAAATTTGAGAATATAAGGCATTTTCACACGAAACTACCCAGAAGAGCTTGATACCTAAGACCTAGGCGAGATGAGCGTAAAGGACTTTTCTTCTGCCTCATTGACTATCAGCTGTGCCATCTACATTCAGAAGAAGGATGTAGTTTTTACTCAGCGATGCCTTGTGGAAAGGATAATTCAGACTCTTCTGACTTATCAAAAAAAAATCATTCAGACTCTTCGTGCAACCAAACTTCATCAACGAAGTGCATAGTTAGTCAAACCAAGCTCTAGGCACTACTTGAGCCCACTTATCATTTACAACTGGTATTATAAGTTGAGTAGATACGAAGTACAAAAGGAACACTTCCTTGCGAGTTAAGAACGGTATATCATCTGTTCTGTTATCAGCTCTGAATGTTTGAGTTGGCTCCCACATTCTGATTATTTAATGTAAATTCTTTTCAGGAATCTTCCATCAAATGTAAATTATTTAAAGCATCAACAATTTGCATTTTTTCAATGTTCAAAAAAGGCAGGTTTTTTGAACTTATAGCAAAAACAAGTAATAATAATAAGCATGGTCATTGAAAGTTTCCTAAAGCAGGGTGATCTCTAAATCTTCTGTAATGATTGCTTCATCAAACTCAAACTAAGCTTTTAAAATTTTTGGGTAAACAATTTAACTAACATAAAAACAATACAGACATCATTACAGAATGGAGGGGGGTAAAAAAAGAACAATTATATTTCCCAACATAGTACCAAGTCACAAAAATCTACACATTAAGATATATGATATCAATCCTATGTTACTTGGGCTCTTCCAAAGTAGGGGAAGTACCTGTGTCCGACACATTATTCAGACATGGGTATGGGATATGTGTCCAACAATTTTGGTTGGACATGCACCAAAAAAATATATCCAATAATTTCATTTTGTTATTTTATTACTTCAAATGAGTGAAACGTCTATTCGGGTCACTATATTACACAAAAACATTACTTTAATCTAAAGAATATAAAAAATATATATTAAATAAAATGAATATTTAGTAGTGTCCTTGTGTCCTGCTTGGAACTTGACACGCCCGACGCGTGGATACATAGCCGTCCCAGACACATGTACCCGAGTCCATGTAACATAGTATCAAACTACTAGGATTGTATAACAACGAAATTTCCAACAATATAATAAAACATGCTTAAAGTAGCATACACACCTTGTCCATCAGTAGTCAACATCCTACGCATTATTGGAAGCAGAATTGGCTCGAGGAGGACAAAAAGGTGAGGAAGCCTGCTCACTGATTCAAGAATTGTGCTAATGGCACGCAAACAACCAACTGCTGCCAAAGCACCTGGATCATCAGCTTCATCATCAGCTTCAGCAGTATTCATGCACTTCCAGAATGCATCAGCCTAGAATACAAAGGCAAAAAGAGTTTCAGAGAAAACAAAACGATATTTACAGTTTAAAAATTCTCAAAGACAACATAAAGTAATTTTCACCAAATTCCGGCATAATCCAAAAGCATAAGGTGCCATCTCCTCCCCAAACTTGTCCACAATAGTCTCAAGAGTAAACACAAGATCCTCATTTTCCACTTCATTCATAAGTTTGAAAAACTCTGAAAGAAAAATGAGACAATAACAATCCATGAATAAATTTGCACAAACAATACTTAGTTAATGACCAAAGATTCATAAATTACATACCATCAAGTAGTTGAGGAAGAATAGGTCGAATCTCACTCAGATCTGCACAGCAAAGAAGAGAATCCGTTTCTTTAAAAGCATCAAAAATTTTAAGTAGAGAGAAGTTTAAAGGAATTTGGGTATCAAACAGATATGTACCTTTGCATGCTTCAACAAAAGAACGCAAAGCAAAGACCGAGTCAACACGAACAGGAAGATCTGGATCGCGCATCCCAGCAACAACACTGTGTAATGCTTTACGAAAATTGTTTGGGTCTGAAAAGTTAATGTGAGCATATTGTCCTGCAACCCATGCTGCCTAATATCCAGACCATACAAAAAACACATGTGAATAAGCTAAAAGCTTTGGAAAAAATAGCAAAAAGGGAAAACATCCAAGATAAGATTTGTAAATTAGAAATGATTGTAGCCAAGGAGATCCAAGTAGAACAACAAAGAGCCCTAGGATGGGCGGGAATACAACTTAGACATAATGTTTCAGATATTTCTCTCCCTCCACAAGGCCCACCACAAGCAAAGGGGGACAGCCCTCCATGCATCTCTAGCTTGGGACGCCACTGAACATCCACAAGTTCTCCAATTTAAAAAAAACGGTAACAGGTCAATCCAACATAGAAGGCCGATAAGATACTATTTTCTTGATATATTTCCGACATGAAAAAAAAAAATGAATATATCAATTGTCTTGTACATGGAGAAGAATTAAAGGATACAACCTCCATCAATGTTGATTAACCAATAATTTGAACTTTTTAGCAAGTATAAAAAGATATTTTAACAAGATGACTTCTACAAAAACTTCAAATTTCATCGGTAGATAATATTAATTTAGAAAACCCCGACTCAACTCAACAGACAGTCATCCAAGCCCTCCAAACTATGTGGTTAGAGCACAAGATCATCAATCCAATTTCATATTTTTGTTTTGCAAGTGGGCAGAAAAAGTGAAGATGATAAATAAATACAAAATTGCATATGAAACATTGATTATCAAGGAAATAAACCTTTGCAAAATAAATCAATACATGGGAACAAAAGAATATCAACATATTTTGTGCACTAGATCTATGTAGTTGCACAATGAAAGGAAAAAGTTAATCAAAATGAAATGTACAACATACCTTGGCTCTAAGATGGCCAACAGGGCTGCTGAACTCAGGAAACACATGTTGCACTAACATACGCTCCAGTTCGGACTTGTAAGGTTCAGTTTGTTTCAATTTATCACATAGTGCTCCAATAGCAAGAAGGGCACCATCTTTTTGTCGATAGGGTTTATATTCCACCGCTACATCATCATATCTGTATTAGAAAGAGAGGAAAATAGACATGAGAAATTAGCGCCATCACAGCATCCCATTGTAATTTCTTACACGATGTTATACCACAATCCGCATAAGTGACCAAATACCTCTTAAAAATCTCCACAATGAATAGGATGAACTTTTGAAGGTTCTCTTTCCCACGTTTTCTTACCAGCTCGCTTACAAAATCCATTGCCGCTGTCCTAGGACTATATAAATCTTCAATTATATCTGCAGCAAAACAATGGTTGGTTGAACCAGATAAATCAGTCAAATTAAAACACTTAATCGAAGGCAACAAAATCAGATTTTAATGACTAACCATAACCCTTCCTCACATATTCATGCGGGTCTTCATCCCAAAGCTTTTGATCATTATCATTGAAGCACATAAGTGGAAAAATTATCTCAAAAAGAACAACATCAAGTCTTGGTTGCAGCAGAGTGTACATATTAGCCTTTGAAAGGCTGCAAAAGAATAAAAATCTAAAATCAGGGAAACCAGAAAGTATGGAAAAGTTAAATGTTTGCATTGTCATTTTAATTGAACTTAAGTAGATACAAGAAAAAAATGAAAATAGAAAACATGATGGATTTGGAAACCGACAAGAGGAAGGAAGGGGGGGGGGGGGGGGGGGGGGTGTAACTAATGATCTGCAGAGACTAGAGAGTAGAAACCTTCAGCTGCATCAATTATAATTCCAAAAATAGGGGGAAGCATGAAAAACATATAAAATGAACATTTCAGGACCTCTGAGTGTTAAATCACTGGTATCCTTTAAATATGGAGCATAGTAAATCTTCCTAGAACTTTACAAGAATGGTCTTCCTTACTATGCTAATGGGCATTTGTCAGTCCTACGTCACACAGATACTTCAACAGTTGTGAAGTAGCCATGCAGGACACAATATCAGGTGTGTATGGAGTAGCAATAAGAACCCATGTTTAGCAAGGAAAAAAAAAACTGTCATGTCAAACCAACTACATGTGAGCTAGTGGCCAAGACCACTCAATTACAGCCGAGCTGACAAGACCTGGTCCTAGTAAAGGAAGAAAATAAACCGCCCTATTAATACCAAAGAAAAATCATATCAAAATCCTAAAGTCTGTCAATTAAGTGTTTGTGATTGACAACAACATTAGCCGGGACATTGTGGGATGCATTGCAGTAATACCAGAAAAGTCCATACATTGCAGGTAATAACACTGTCTCTTGGAGGTGAGGGTAATAGGGGTCTCGAGTTCTGATTCTTCTGAACACTTTGCCATGGACTAAATATTTTGGAAGAAAATAAAAGCTACAAAATAGAAATTATTTTTCATAATGTTTACATGTATAAAGCATACAACCCTAGTAGCATTTTTATACAGTTGATTCTCAAAATATGTAGTCGTAGAATTTTGTCCAATCTCAGTGTTGGCCTTATTTTTCGGTATTTATACCACAATGACAAACCACTGCATGAATTTGTACCTTTTAAATGGTTTTATGAAATAATTTATATAGGGCCCGTTTACTAACGCTTTCACTTTCTTACTTTTACTTTCTTCAAAAGTAAAATCATAATTTTACTTTCTTAAACTGAAATAGAAAAGCATATCATGTTCAGTAACTTTTTCTATTTCCAATATTTTGAAAGCAAAAAAATTGAAAAGTAAGTTTAGTAATTCTAATTTTAATTTTGTTTTGGGGTCATCTTTCTCTCTCTAAAAAAGTTTAATTACAGGGCTTACAGAAAGTTAGAGAGAGAAGACCCAACAAAAAAAAACCCAGAAAACCTATCAAACCTTTCCAATCAGATCTGCTGAATGCCCATAAAAACCAGTTATTGATGATCTTTTGACCCATCCTTGTCTCTGAGTGCCACAACCCATTGTTGCAGTACTGGCGGAGTGCTTCACCATCACAACCCAGTAGAAGCTCGGGACTCAAACAAAGCCCCAACAAACTATTGCAAACACAATGGACTGCGATTCGAAGACTCCAAATTCGAAGATTCCAAGTGAGTGGTTGAGAGAAACAAAAAGACACCAAGTTATAGTGGTTTAGAGAAAGAAAAAGACTCCGATTCCGGTGGTCTAAAATTTGAAGAAATCATCGATCCATATTTCTGGGCTATGGTGTCCAAATTTGACTGAATACTTCAATTTGAAAGAGAGAGATATTGGGCTTCGATCTAATTTTGAATACAAAGAAAGAGTGATTGGGGCTTTGATCCGATATCAAATACAGAGAAACAAAAACTAGATCATCGTCTTCGTCGGCATCTTCGTCTTCGTCCAGATAGACAGAGAGCAGAGAAAGCAATATTGATAGAGAGAGTGTGATGGGTGGTGTCTTCCATCGTCGTCGGTGGTTAGTGTCTTCCATTTTTGCCGATTGGTGGGATGAGATGATGATGATAGAGGGGGAAGAGGATGACGAGTGGGTAATGGTCGATGAGAATGGTGGGATGAGATGATGATGATATAGAGGGAGAGGATGATGGGTGATGCTCGGCTGAGAATGGGTGAATGGGTGATACGAGGGAATGCTACAGTAACAGAAAGTATTTTCGGTGTATAGTGGAGAAAGTAGAGAAAGTAACAAATCTTCAGTTTCTTTTTTCTTCATTAAATGTGAAAGTACTTCTTAAAAACAGAAAAGTAAAATTATATTAATAAACATAATTTGTACTTTTAGTTTATATTTTTAGGAATTGAAAGTAGAAAACAGGATTTATTCCTGTTAGTAAACAGGCCCATAGTACACATAAAACAAGTGTTTAGACATTCATAATTAGCATTTCTTGATAATGTTACAAAACCAAGATTTGGAAAGCAGCACCTGAATCAATGCATCATGAGTCCAAGCAAATCCATATTAATTCCATTTTTTGCACTACTTTTATCGCCAGATATTCCTTTTGAGGTTTTGGGTGGGGGCAAGTATTTCTTTGAGGTTATTATTTACCCTATTAGATGACAAAATCAAAGATTTCGCCCAACCCGTTCTTGAGGGCAAAAAAATTAGAAGAATCATTCCTGCTGCTACCAAGTGATGCCAGTATCTACACGACCAAGTATAATAAGCTTTAGTCAGCTTATGGCAGAAGAATCCAAAAGAAGTCTAGAAATCAGCCTAAAAAAAAGTATTATCCAAAAAAAAAAAAAAACTTAAGATGTTTAGCTAGACAAAAGACTAGAACCCAAGATTGCTACAAAATATTCTCCCTGTTTCATGAACAGCAATCATACTTCCACCCCAATCTAATCCAACCAAACCTATGCCCTGGAAAGAAAACAAAAAGAGGATAGGGGAGAAGACAAAGGAGGAGGAGAAAAAAATACAAATATAAGTAGGCATATTTAGCAACAAACACAACACTCATATGATATACAGAACAAATGCAACTGTGGAGCTGATGACCCTGAATGAGCATAACATGTAATAGGACAGAACGATTGAAAAGCAAACAACACAAACCTGTTGCTTAGATATTGCAAAATGAGGTTGGTAACTCTGTCAGGCAAATAGCCACCAACACGGATCACATTCAACAAATTCAAATGGCACTCCAAAATTTTGCCAGCATAATTCTTCTGGAACATCTGCGCAAAAGCTCTGTTTTCGGGATTTTGAATTTTCAAATCTCCAAACCTGTAAACATGGTAAAAACCAGAGGTAAGTCAATATTGGTTATCAAGCTTATGCTGATCATGTAAACTTAAAGCTAAGAACTCACCGGGTGTACAGGCGATTTAATATGTGAACCGTCCACTTCTTAACCTTCCACCATCCCCATGACTTTCTGAGCTCCGGATCTGCAGGTTGGCCTTCTAATGGGACAGGCCTCTCCAATATATTTAAGAAAAGAACCATCCAAGCATTGAAGATATTTGGATCAAATAACTGCTTCGGAATCTCCAACTGAAACGATTGAAAGACAGACAAATTATGAATCTCAAATGCAGAATATTCTCCAATTGAACAAATATAAGATTGGCATTCTGCTATATAAACTCTGCAAATGAAACGCTAGATGTATTTTTTCTTGTATTTATAACTCATTATACTAAGAATCGTCATTATTTATATTCGAGATCAAACATAAACTGTGCGTCACCAAACGTTAGCTTGTTGACGATAATTTTTTTCCATTTATTACTCGTGATACTAAAAATCATCGTTATTTTTTTTCCCTAAGCTAATCATCATTATTTATCTATGAGATCAAACAGACACTGTGCTGCTCCCAATATTGGCTTGTTGAAGACAATAACATATTAGACAAGCACGACTTCTAAAGCCTTGGGCTTCATACAAAGCTAAAAAACTGCCATAAAGTTTTCAAAAACAAATCATGATATGTTTTTATTGTACGCTGATGAACACATAAGAATATTATCTGTTTAACATGAATAAATAATTTAAACACATCATCCGAACTACACCAAGAAAATGAATCCTGACAAACGAAGCATGTTAATTACTTCCATGTGCAAGAACATACATAGATGGATGACCAGAAAATTTTGCAAATGAGTTTGATTAAGTCTGCTACTTCCAGTGAAGGGTTGACAATCTGGACAAGCCTGTTAAATATACTTAGCAGATGATGAAATGTCTCCTCAACAATGAGATGAACTGGTGTCCGCTCCTCATCTGACTTGAACCTATGAAAAACAGGACAAAAGAACTGGAAAATTCAATAATGATTTATATAGAACATAATCTGAAAGAACGCTTCAGTTAGACACAGTTGCACAATGCTCAAGTCGTGTGCAGATTGTTGCATCTCCCTGTAATTTCAAACACTTACGATTTTTTGTTCGAATTTCTATCGGTCACTTACATCACCCAAAGTGGTTAAAATAGATGTCACGAACCTTGCCAGGATAGGAATATTACAATTAAAAAGAAAAAAAAATATGTAATGAAGGAAATATACTAACAATTACCTATTTTCACAAATGAAATTAAATTCAATGTACATCTACCCTGACCTTGTTTGCTATTCTCTTTGCAAATAATGGATCGGTTGAAAAACCTTTGAGTAAGAAGGCCCTCCGAGCCTATAGTTGTTAAAGGTGCGCCTAGGCTCCAAAAAAGCCCGAGGCTTGTCAAGGCTCAAATAGAGCGCCTCAACCTAGTACAGCCAGGATCAAGATTTTTAGCCAGCTCCAGGCTCAAAAAAGGCACGTCTTTAATTTTCAATCATTTATTTAAATCATTTTCTTTTCATTTAATTAGTACTAAATTAAAATATCCGTTGTCCTCGTCCTTGTCCTCGCCTTGTGGTCCACTGCTTGCATTAATTGCAATTACTACTTGATTCTGAATATATATATAATAATAAATATGTTTGATTATGCATTATTATTACACACGCCCCTTACTTCAATCAGGCGTGAGTATTGCACCTAACGCTTAGGCTCCAAAAGGTTTTTGGCGCCTTAGTGTGCCTTGAGCCTCTAAAAACTATCCAAAGTATAGAAAAGTCGATGGTGAGACAGTCCTCGAGATCTTCAGCAAACAAAAGATAGAAGATATGTTGAGGACTCGGCACAAATAGAATCAGTTTAACAGGTAGAAAATAAAAGATGAAAAGAAGGCTGATAACTGTGACCCTAGTCTATCAGCTTCAACAACTGGAACACCCGCCTCTTTGCAAACTAATTGTAATTTTTTGCTCAAGACAATCAGTAGTTTAACAGTCTAAGTATAATTTAAAATAATAAAAATATAAAATATAAAAGGAGCAGAAGAAGAAGAACAACAAGGTAACCAATAGAGAAACAATTTCTGCAATTGTTTCTGATATAACTGATATGCATCATAGACTTACTCATATTTTCTAGAAAGAATCCTAAGGACAAACAAAGCCCCATAAACTTGCTGATCTTGTAAATTATGCTTCACCCAGTGTAAAAGGCTTGGCCATTGCTCTGGGTAATCTGCATGGATCATTGTCTTGAGGCACTCACCCAGTTGTACCCTGTCGAGAAAAATGAAACCAGATATTGATAAGTCACCCATATCAAAATACATATACGTGCATACATGATCAATAAGGCAAAATAAATAAATAAATGTGTAGTTTAAACACCGCACCTCAACAAAGGAGGAACTTGGGGTACAAACACAAGTATGTTCTGCCTGACCAAGTCTTTATCACTAGGCAAGATCTTTGATTGCTCGTCTACATTGCCACAAAAATGCATAATAAGCATTACAGAACAACAAATAAATTTTTAACTCTAATTAAATTCGTGGAATTGACAGACCAGGATCATGAGGTGACCAATTCTTTGCAATGAAATTCTTGAAATGAATACTGGCAACTTGACGTACTGCCATGTCGCAGTTAGCATCTACAACAATCTGCAACAGTCTCACCAACTGCTGAGGTGTGTACTGGTACTGTAAAACACCACAAATAACAAAACAGTTCATACATACAAGCGCAACCAATTGTTAGACCAGTAACAACACAAAGAACAACGATTTACATCTTAGGCAATAAATTGAATTCTACAGTTTTTTCAGCAACCGATCAATAAATCAATTAATTGTGCAGCTGATCAAACAATCGCAAAAGCATTCAACTACAAAACACGACAATAAACATGATATTTATCCGGCGAAATCAATAACATACAGACAACGATTAATTAGAATTCCGGATCAAGAATCAACCATTTCTCCATCAATAATTGAGAAACGAATAACTGAAAATTAACATGTAAGAAATAAGAAATAGATAGAATTCTGATTACCTGATTGAGACTCTGTTCAGCAGCTTTTCTTTCATCGGGATTGGGGCTAAGTGCAGCTTGGAGGACAACGGCGAGGCTATGAAGATCCATAATTTTTATATCTCTTATATGTGTACGTAAATTTATAAATATGAAATTCCGATGATCGAGCAAGACTAATAGAACCTAAAACCCTTGCTGAATTTCAGTGAGATGGCTTTGTAGCGCTGTTCTTCTAGGGTTTACACAAAGCCAGCGCTAGCTGAAGCATAGGGAGATAGAAAAGATTAGAGAGAAAAAGAGAGTGAAGGGATGCGGAGAGAGACAGCGAAGGAAGGGAGTGTATTTAAATCATTAGGGTTTAGAGTTTGTTTGTTTAACTACAATTGGTTGACTCCGACCGTGACTTCACGCGCTGTACGTGGAATAACTCCCTTTAACACACTATCCTTCAATTTTTCGGAGAATTGTCAAAATGGGTTTTGTTGTAAGGCGCAAATCCTCTACAGTGCACTTCCCAAGCAGTTTCCTACATTGAGCAATAAGTGACCTTGGTTTGGCCACGTTTTACTCCACCTTAATGGACACTAACACTGTATTTGACAATTGCATTACTAATATTTCACCACCATTTATAAGTAACATCGCAAAAGTCTAAAAGTAATATCACATAATCTAAAAAATAACATCACCACCATTTCTTAAGTAATGTCATATATAATCGTAACTGAATTCACCACCATTTATAAGTAACATTTCACCACCATTTATAAGAATCTTTATCGTTAAATTAAGATATGCACATAAATAGTGATATTACTTTTAGACTCATGTGATGTTACATTTTAAATCATGTGATGTTACTTATAAATGGTGGTGAAATGTTACACCATCATTTATAAGTATCTTCATCCTTAAATTAAGGTATGCACATAAATGGTGATGTTATTTTTAAACTCCTGTGATGTTATTTTTTAGATCATGTGATGTTACTTATACATGGTGGTGAAATGTTACTTATAAATGGTGGTGAAATTATCAAACACGGTCTCAATTGTCGAATAGTAGTGAATGACGTGGCCAAAAAAAAATCACATGAAAACTTATAGCAGGGGACGGCATGAAAATCTACAGCAGAGGATTTGCGCCCTTGTTGTAATTTTCTCGATAAAACTGCTATTTATGCAGTCGCATAGTCGAAGTCGTGTTGCGTGCACGAGAACGACACCGTTTTGATGCATGTGTACCAGTTTAAACTTTTATTTTAATTTTTAATTGAAGAGATTATATTATGTATGATACAGTGATAATGTTGATAGAGAGGTTAGGGAAGTCAATGCATGTACGTTTGGGTTTCGCGGAGCTATCAGTCTATGGGCGCGAATCCTCTTTGGTCAATTTGCCCTGCTATCTCATGTGGTGTGCCGGTGTATATTACTTGGTCTATAGTTGGTTACCTTTTTCTATTTTTTTAAGTGATATTAAACGTTTAGATACAGTAATTACACAAAGTAGTACTCCTTCACAACCACTTTCACCCTCAAAATAAGGTATTAAAATCACGTTTAGATACAGTAATTACACAAAGCAGTACTCCCTCACAACCATTTTCACCCTCAAAATAAGGTATTCACACAGTACCGACTAAATAATATCGATGTAGTACTCCATCACCACCACTTTCACCCTCAAAATAAGGTATTCACATAGTGCTTACTAAATAATGTCACATAAATGCAACTTAACTCAACATATTATTTATATTATTATGTGATATTATACATAAATGTATTCACGTGTTATTATTTGACACACCCACCACTTTCACCACTAAAATAAAATATTCACATAATATTGAATAACTAATGTCACGCATAAATTTAACCCAAAAAATTAAAAATATCGGTCCACGCCTAAAGACCAGACGTCGACCAAAAGTCCCCAACCAGTCGACGTGTAGCCACTTCACGTCGACCGAGTCCTGTATGCATGAAGAAAGAAAAAAAAATTTAAATCACACTCACTACCTTCACCATCAAAAGAATGTATTCACATGATGTTGAATAACTAATGTCACACATAAATCTAACCTAAAAAATTAGAGATACCGATCAACGCCTAAGGACCAGACGTCAACCGAAAGCCCCCAACCGGTCGACGTATAGCCACTTCACATCGACTGAGTCCTGTATTGCCGCATCCAAACACAGTCTCAATGGCACTTAAACAAATTAGGGCGTGGCCAAATATGGGCCAAGTAATGTGCACCGCATGGGCAAAGTGACTTCAAAGAATTTGTTCCTTCCATGTAAAGTGTAAATTGTCATACGCCGCACATGCATTAGCCTGAGGCCATTGTTAAAATTTAGCACACCCCCTTTGTTGGTACTCATAAATGGATAATCCATACTAAACGGATCCCAAAATCTTCAAAAAAAAATTTCCCTTTTTAACCCTGATAAATAACATATAACAACTTCGGCAAATAAGCAGCTCGGCTTGAAATTAACACTGTATCAACTCATTCTCAATCTAAGATTTTCAAATGGACCTAGTTCAAATTTTTGGATAGTGTTTAGAGAACTCAATTTGAAAGTTTTACATAAACCTTAAAATGAAGATTAAATTTGTTTGAATGTGACTGTAAAAATAAATAAATAAATAAATAAAAATTAAAAGGTTATCATCAAAATTGTCACCCATAAAACCATATAAGAATGTGTGAAAATGTAATGGGTTGGCGCTTATCCATTTATCCAAAAACTTAAATTGTTGTGTAATGTTGTATACTCACCTATTTATACGCACCCCCTTCACTTTCCATTCGAGTCTAACGTGGGACAAATACCCTTGTAACATTCTTGTCCATCCGAACTCGCAACACTCTCGTTGCGGTGGGCCACCCTGCCTACCCGGGTAGCTCACCCGAACACCTTCACAGTTAGGCATTTAGCTTGGCACCGGATCAAAGACTGGTCTGGATCTAATACCAATTGTAACAGGTAGGCGTTTTCCCATTTAGCCTAAAGTTTAAAGTGTTGGGCAATACTGCATACCCACCCATTTATACCCCTTTTATTTTCCATTCGAATCCGATGTGGGACAAATACCCCTTATACCCCCCCCCCCCAAAAAAAAAAAAAAAAAAACTAGGCATTTAGTTTATATTTTACCACAATTTTCACATATTCAAGTGTCTTAATTTAAGTGTCCATGTATATTAACAATATATTTTTCAGAGGTGGTATAGAACATGTTTTGGAGTGGGGGACATCCAAGGTCAGCCCTGAGATTCTCAAATTTTTTAGAGGCTCTAGGCGAACTTTCAAATGCGATACATTTATACATAAGGTTTTACCCGCGCAAAACATTTATTAGAATGCGGAATTTTCATTAAAAAGAGACTATAAGCACCAAGGTAGCTCAATATAATTTGGGACCTTAGGCGAAAAATAAAAGTGGTCTTTTATTTAAATACCATCCATTTTACTTTGTGAAATGCAAAATTTCTAATTAGGTTCTTATATTTAAGTTTGGTTAAAATATAAAAATATATGAATATATATCTATATATATATACACACAAATTTATAATAACAAATATTAATAAAACTAAAAGTAATTAAAGTAAAGTAACAATATAAATTAGTTTAGAAAACCCCCCAGTCCAATGCTCCTACAAATTCTTCAATGGAATAAAAATGGGTTCAAATCGAGAGTAATGAGTATTGAATGGATAATAAATAAAATTATAAACTTGTAATAAAAGAGGAGAGAGACCATTTGTTGAGAAAGGAAATAAAGTATACGAGGAATAAGAAATATATACATATATATATATATGTAAGCTACAAAAAGAATAGGAAAAGTTTTACCACTTTCCCAAACAACGGTTAAATACATATATGACCGGTCTGCCGCATTACCGTCAAGCTTGGAGAGTGTGCATTAAAGCGAGGGCCAAGAGTTTTACATTTATAAAAAACACTACTACCTTTCACTATAAATATAGCTAGGGCGAGTAGGGATCGTCCCAAGGGGTTGTGAGGGTCGAACAAGGTTGTGGAATCGTTATTAGGGCTAGTAGGTCGAGTGATCAAACAATTGGTTGGTTGGTTGGTTGATTAGACTAAATAGTAACTAAATTAAACTAAGTGATAACAAAATAATGCAGATAAGAATAAATAAGAGAGAGAAGAGTCTTGGGGTTTAGAGATTACCACCAAGTAATGCATTTCTATACCATTGACAAGTGATTAGTGAGGGCAATGTGGTGTGTTACAATATTGGTGTGTGTGTGTGTTTGGTTGATTCAACAAGTAATGATGACTAGTTAAGCATGTATTGTCTAAACATCATGTGAAAGGCACAATATATCTAAGCAATGAAGCATATATTGTCTAAACAATATGTGAAAGGCACAATAGATCAAAACAAGTCATTAATCATTTCATTAAGCTCACAACCCAAATACAATACAAGGTTAGAGACATATGTTACTTGCATTCAAAAGTATGGAACATCAAACAACAAGTATGGATTGTCCTCCCATTTAACACTGCACTACCACTGCACTACATCTACACTACTAGCATGAAAATAAACTAGGGGAGAGGCACAATCCATAAAGGAATAGGTATGAACCATCAAGAAAATTACAAGAGCATTCCATTAAGCACTATGTTTTGACAATTTCTAAATCTATAGCATCAATACACATAGACATGCATCAATAACACAAAATCTATAGACAAGCACGTGAACATTTATTTTAGCATACATAGACATATGGATAGAATGAAATGATTAATTGAAAGCATTTAACCACATAAATCATTGAACAATCAAGATCTATATATATCAAAGTGTCAAAACATTAATTACAACATTAATCCCTCAATAATACACAAGATTAAGATAAAGAAAGCATGTTTGGGGTTAACTCTAGCCCCAAAAGGATGTCTAGCCACTCATGGTGATGCTCCTCCAACCCTCAAGGGCTGACTCCATGGAAGAAATATGCTCCTTGTTGATGAAAAACTCCAATGGTGTCTCTAGCCTCCTCCTCTTTTCTTCTACCCTAAGAACAGCCTATAAAATTGTATCTACCAAATGCTAAGTCTCTTTTTCAAAAAGTGCATCATATTCCTTTTATAGATAGGTCAAGTGACACACAAAATGAGCTGGGGTCGTGCAAAGAATATTCTCTAATGATTGGATAGATGACGGATTGAACAAGCTGGCTTTTTAACTTTTTCGCATTAAAGGAAGTTCGATCGATCGAACCTTGGACTTGGATCGATAGAACTTAGCTGAGAACCATCGAACTGAGGC